CTTGATTAATGCTCATTGTCACTCATAAACACAACAGTTTTTCTTCCGCAATCACACTTCTGCGTTTTGTTTCCCGGCGGACCGAAAATAAACGAGTTAAAATTCAACCAATCAGATGACGACTTCGACATTCCTGAAGTGTTTCCAGTTAAGTGTACCATATGCATCAGACGTTTAGCCAACGTTCCGTGGGCGTGACGTCTGAGGCTGAGACTAGTGCTTCAGTGACTACCTCGCTCAGAGAACCTGTCAATCACACCTGTCAATCATGATGTCAGAGCACCGTTATTTTATCATCACATAACTAACTAAAAACAAACTTATTTTAAAAACGAACACTTGAAATTACATCAACGTGATAGAAACTAGAGTAAATGACAGAAACTATCTTTGGAAAAAGGATATGTGAAGTGTAATTTAATTGTTTAGTTGGTCTCGCGTCCCATTGAATAACATGGGGAGGCGGGGGTTATGAGCTATACTAGGACCGGTCACAGGGGGGCGATCGAGACGTTTTGGCTTCACTTTTGAGCAAGTATGTATCGCTGCAGCCCGGAGACCTGCAGGTGGGAGGAGCTTACGCCGCAAGTGGGAGGAGCTTTTGCCGCAAGTAGGAGGGATTTCAAAATGTGCAAGTGGGAGGAGCTTATGCAGAAGGACGGCGGTGAATGAGTATGACAGGAAGTAATAAGTAGCGACAGTAATGAAAATAAACGATCAAACATTACATTCCTCATCTTAAAAATAAACGATCAAACATTACATTCCTCATCTTAGCTGATTTCTTACAGCTTTATTATTATTGTGTGTGTCCAATACCACTCACTGTCAATTATGAAGTCATGTCTTTACACCTTTTACCAGTGTTGTAGTCGAGACCACCTCAATATTATGAAGCTGCAGACTCGGAGCCTGCATCTACAGTCCCCCACCGAGAGTCCCGCATTCTCAGACCCCTCGTTTTTCGAACACAGCGCCTCCTGCTGTTCAAAAGATCGAATGACACCCGCACACAGAGTACAGTGCATGATTATCCAAATGCAATTAAAAACAATAGGATGCAATATTATGGTCTTCAAATAAATTATCCAATATATATTTGCGTTCCCTGCTTAATACATGTGCCAAAAAAAACCTAATTGTTACTGATGGAAGGGATACAATTACAGATTGAACTATCTTCAGAAAAATAGTAGGCTATATTATATTGCTACAATGTTTTTTTATATATATATATTTTTTTTAAAATTAAAATTCCAATTTTTCTTTCAGTTCAACCTTAGTCTATTTTTTTTCTTCCCATAGGTTTCAGTGAGTGCAGAACATTATTCTTCTTCTGAAAGAGGATTAGAATAAAAAAAGTGATACAATTTTTCATTCGTTTTTTAATTTGACAAAAAATATCAGCAACATATAAAAAGCTGCCAATACCAGCTACAACAGCTCGTTTTCTCTTTCTCCCATGTCTTCCACTATTTGATTGTCATGCAACTAAAACAAATATAGGAAGCAATAGAAAAAGTACAATATCAAAATTAATTGAATGCAAGGATGCATTACATTGATCACAAATTCCAGTAAAGACTTTTGTAAACACAAAAAAACTTATCCACCAATGAATACAACATTTCAACCCTTGCCAACCCCTTGCCATTTCTTGCCAACCCCTAATAGTATTAAGAACAGATTTTAAAGGAGTTTGATAGACCAAGGGGTGTTTACACCTGCTGATTTTCATCATCACTGAAACACTTTGCTACTCCTTTTCAATCAAAGGGTCTGCAGAACATGTTTTTACTGAAATAGTGTTATGAGCGAGTCACTAAATCATTCCTTTCCATGACTTCCCAAAACAGTTTACAGAGTGAACAAGATTTCTTAATTTCTTTAAGGGTTTCTTAAAAACACCACGTGTTAAAAGTACAGCTAATTTATTCACACTTATGCTCTAAAGAGAAGTTTTCAAGCAAGATGGTACACCACCATTTTCTTATGTTATGTCTTGTTTAGCTGTGTACATAAAGTAATGGATTAGTACAAGTTTCAATTATATTAAAATGCATATAACTACAAAAAATAAATACTTCAGTGAAGTAAAACTTCTGTTCTGTCCCAGAACAACATACAGTGCATACTATAACATGCGAAGAAACACAAAAAAAGTTAAATGGGTAACAGGAATTGATTACGATCTCCTGTTCATAGTGAATATAACAATAATATTTTGGTCAACTTACACCCATACTACCACCCAAGATAAATGGGATTGAAGGTGGCCTGTTGCCTGGAAGTTCTCATAGGACAAATTTTATATTGTCCTTATGAAAAAGCGGACAGTGAAATTTTGTGGAAAAAGCGTAACTAAAATGAAACAAGTTTTAAAATAATTGCATGCATTGTACAATTAAGTTAGGAGTTGTATATCAAATCCATTACAAAATGTTTAAGACATTTACCATTTGATCAATGCAGTCCTAAAACTTACAAAAATTACACTGCCACAATACCTTATTGTGGTCTTCAGAATCCATAATCTGGAGAGCAAATTGTAGAAATGGAATACAGAAAAGATCTTGTCATGCACGTTACAGATTTTGTAATTTGTGTGCTACTAAAAAAACTACAGAAATGTATTTGGATACACTTTACCCTTTTTTTTTTTTTTAATACATCAAGACTAAAAACAGTGTACAAACGCCATTATGAAATGGTCTTTTTCAGAACTTATAAAGCTTTTTTTTTACAAAACTGAAAAACGGTACAAGAAGCTTACCCCTTCATCTCGATCTCATCACGCTGACATGTGAAAGCGGTTTTCTTCTTTGTTTTCTGATGGATCGCAACAAAACTTATACATTACCGCCACCAACTGTGGAGCATAAACCAATAGCTACTAAAACACAGGTGATACTAAATAAACCAATCAAATTTCTCTGGAAGTTTGTTCAGCCCACTTGCGGCTAAAGCTCCATCCACTTGCTGCTAACCCACCCATTTGCAGCTGGCTCCGACCTCCGTTTATACCCATCTCCTTTTGAGGGCTTGTGCGGCACGCTTGTGTTAAGGCGGGTTTTAGGATAGCGCTCTGGGGTGCTTTCGGCCTGACAGCGGGCACGGAACTTAAAGGGATAGTTCACCTAAAAATGAAAATTAGCCCATGATTTACTCACCCTCAAGTCATCCTATATGTATATGACATTCTTCTCCTAGGTGTATATGACATTTTTCTTTCAGACAAATACAATGAGTTACAATGAACATATAATGAGAACATACAAACATACAATGAGAATACAATGAACATATCCTGGCTCTTCCCATCAAAAAAGTGCTCCACGCGGCTCCGGGGGGAGGTTAAAGGCCTTCTAAAGCGAAATGATGTGTTGCATTGTCAATGCATGTTGAGACTTCACTTCAATTCAGAGCATAGAATTGAAATTCAGAGTAAAAAAATAGGTTCAGAGGCATGTCTGTTGGACAGGATGAATGCAGAGTATGAGAGAGGGATTCAGGGAAGGTCTTGGGCTGCATCTAAAATTGCCAAGTTTCAGCGGGACAGCATCTCTGTCCCAAGTTGAGACACTCTCGCAATGTACTCCCTCTTTTAATGCACTTTAGACATTGCACATAACACACACACACACACACAAATAAAATAAAAAATAGGAGAAGATAGGGACTGAAGAGATGTGGGGGAAGGTTATCATATATTATCTTATTATATCATCTTTTATTTTATACAGGGTTGACAATGGCAATTGGCTTTATGCCCAGCTGCACTACTTCCTGAACTTCAGCCAGCTCCTTGTTTCCTGTCTGCCATTATTGGCCAAATTGATTAATTCAGGTGTGTCTGATTATTGTTGCCATGACTACTGAGGTCTGGTACACCTGAATTAATCAATTTGGCCAATAATGGCAGACAGGAAACAAGGAGCTGGCTGAAGTTTAGGAAGTAGTGCAGCTGGGCATAAAGCCCATTGGTCCATAGGAGTACGACTAATACAATATTGGCAATATGGTGGTAGTGGGGAGTAGGGGTGGTGATGGTAATGACAATGGTAATAAATAATAAATGGTTACTTGTCTATGCATACACACACATACACATACCCACACTCACACCCACTCACATACACACTTAGATCAAACACTTAAATCACTCTATGTCACTTCTGGAATTACAAGACTGCTCACTACTGCACTATGTTGGTTTGTATGTATGTTTGACTGTTTAATAAAAAAATAAAAATAAAATTGCAAAGTTCCCTATTGGCGAAAAAGAGTATGTGACAAAAGAAGTATGCCCGAATTCACAGTACTCGTAAAAGAGAAAGCAAAAAGTAACCAGGTGACCTGCTAGAGATTCTGAAGTGTGCATACAATGGACACTTTACCATCCCATGAGGCCACAGGAGAAGATTTGTTAATGGAAGTGTAACGCTGGAATTGTCACGTGATTATGAAAACATGGCGTCCATATCATACTACACACATTCAAATTATAAAGAGTGTATGTTTTTAGCTGTTGTGGAGTAATTATTCCAAACAAGTACCTACTCAAGAGAGTATGCGATTTCGGATGCAGCCACAGTTAAAATGTCATTGTTTTTAAATGTGCTGTAGAACTAAATATGATTAAGTCCCTAATCAAACTCACCTGATTCAAATAATCAGTTCGTTTGTAAAAGCTCTATGACTTGAAATGGGTACATCGAAAAAACATCCAAAGGATGAAATCCAAATGCCTTTTTTGCACCTCTGAGGAGCACTGAGGGAAAGGGGTTCTGCACTAAGCATTGTTCCATATAAAAGTGAGCAAATTATCCCCTTAATAAATCCCCTCTCTACTTCATACCACCCATTTCTGACTAGCAATAGCAATTAGTAAATCCTGACTCATCGACGAGTTTCAATAGGCTTATGTCCCAGTCCAACTTCCTGTTTCAATAATAAAATACACAAACAATGATTGTAGTATGACATGAAATTGCCCAGCGGTGTTTCCCAGTAAGATTTTAATTTATCATATTCTAAATTCTCACAAGGAACCAGAAAACATTTGTCTACTACATACATTTCATTTAATTTTTCTACCACTGCCACTAATGGGAAATCAAACTTTTGAAAATAATGTCTAGCAAGCTGCTATTTATTTATGCAAGAGCTAAAAGCAATGGTGCAGAGACCACTTTAATGGTTGTTACACAACCATTTGCACTGATATTTATTGGTCATCCTTTTTTAACAAAGCAACAGATATATATAAGGCACATTTTTTTGGCAAAATACACTGGCTGGATGAACAAATGCTTAAGCTCTGAAAGCAATCATTTTAAGGGAAAACGAATAAACAGTGGTAAACTTTTAAAAAGCTTTGACCTATGGCGCCAGTTTGGTTTAGGACAAAACTCATAATCACAGTACAAAACACTTTGTGTCTCTTCCTTGTAAAAAGAGATTACACCACTGGCAGAACACAACATCATCAAAATTCACCATATATAATATATTCATAAATATGCAATAATAGAGAAATAGATTCATACTAATGCCTATTTGGTCCAAAGAACAGTAGTCAGCTAAAGTACAGTGTTAATCCAAATACATACTGAGAAAAAGACACACAACCCCAAGATGTTCTACTGCCTCACCAAGAGACCCCTGAGCAATGTCATTACTGTTTGGCACTTTTTTTCTCTCACACCATTACAAGAAATATTTTTAAAAAACAAAAGAAACATTTAAGCTAAAATTATGATGGCATTGGCAAGCTAACAGCGCCATGACATTAAAAAGCTAGGTTTAAACATTTGTAAGTTTGATAACACTGTAATTTCACTAATAAGCCTTTAACAAATATTAGATCATGCTTAACAGATCAGTACTTCATGTACATTCAAATATGAATGCATAAGAAAATATATAAAATAAAATTTAATTTCTATTTCAATGTACATTCATCTGATCCGTTAACATTACAGATCTATGATGTCAATTCTTTGCTATTAATGAACTACATTCCATCCTATATTCTTTGTATTATAAACTTTTGATTTATCTATATTAACAGGTTAAGAAGTACCTGCCAAAAGGCAAAGAGTTTGCAATGGTAGATGTCTTTAAGTGAAACTCAACAGTAAACCTGAACTGAAACTTCAAAGTATCAATAACATTGTCATCAGTGCAGCCCAGTGTAATAAGGGTACAATAAGGATGTGAACTAAATTAGTGAGATGGCAAGTCTGCAGAATTTTAAGAAACATTAAAGCTGTGCTATTAATAAAAAGCAGCAAGCACATTGCACAAAATAAATCAATAGCATTACAAATGACACAAGAGCACCCTGAATCAAAGCTCAACACCAAAATCTAAAGCAGCTGAACAGCAGATGGAAAATTCCAGTTTTGATGGATCTAAAATGGCAGCTAAACAAGGCCTCACATATGTACATATCAAATTGAAGAACAGTAGTTTAACCACCCCGGGCAGATGTATATGTCCCGGAGATGAGAGAGGGAAAGAAAAATATTGTGCAGTTCTTTGTTTGGGCAAAGAATTCAGGAAAACAATGCAAAGAGCCCAAAGGTTCATTTAGACAGCTTACTAATGACACGAATGAGAGCTGCGTTTTCATCCTTCAGTCTCTGGTTATCAGCACGCAAATCCACAAGCACCTAGAGGGAGAGGGGGAGAAGGGGAGAGTAACAGATAGTGAGATGAGAAGGCCCACATGGAGCCTGTATAGACCTTATGTAGCCCAGCCCCTTTTCAGCTTTGCGCTCGTTGTCTTTTTTGACTTCCGGTCTGTATCTCCACAGCGATCTTGCATAGGTATGAATGAAGTGCTCGTGAAACATTTCCCGGTCGACATTTGTTAAGACATCTACTTTACAATGATCAGGATAAACATTACAATGCTCATGATAACTTTTGTTAACTCTACAATAAGTAAATCCACTTCACCAGCTAATTACTCCTCGACAGCGATGCCATAGAAATATACAGAGCGACCGCAAAACCGGAAGTTCAAAGACAATATTGTAAAGATGACGGCGCCCACGTTTCTCTGGTGCATAAGGTCTATATGCATGGAACTTTGCAAAAGCTCTGCAGAATTGACATGACCATCATTTCACAAGTTTTCCAGAGCTCCTACCTTTTATATGTTTGTTTATTAAGTTGTGTTTAGCTGTCAAATTGTGTTTAGCTGTCAAAAGAGTGTAGTGATCTCATTAAAAAAAAGTTTAAATCTATTACACAGATTTCCCACGAAAAATCCTAACTAAATATGTAAAACAGTCAGCAAATTTTGCATAATTAGGAGATTCTTGACAAATTTTAAAGCTCAGGTTCTTACTTTGAGTTCATCTTCTAACTCAGATGCTCTCCGCTGAAGAACTTTTTTTTCCTGTGTGGATAGCAGATAAAAATAATAAAAAACACTTTACAATAAGGTTCACTTCGTTAATATTTGCGCATTAGGTGAACTAATAATGAACGCTACTTTTACAGAATTTATTAATCTAGGTTAATGTTAATTACAACATTTTTAGCCATATAAAATACATGACTGTATTTAAAAATACATTTAAATAATATATGTAAAGTAAAAAATGAGTGTAAAAAAAATTAATTATAGTGTGTTCATGACACCAGTGCATTAGCTAATTTTATCTGAAGGTATGAAATTGTCCACTGTAAAAAATAAATTGAGAAAATTTGCGTTCAGATTTCAAAGGTTTGTAAACTATAAAATATATGGTTGTTTTTATTTTATTTTTTACAGTGTGAGAACTTACAAATCTCTCCAGCTCCAGTAAGGCTGGTCTGTCTGATCCATTCTCTTGATTCTGATTACATGCAAATAAACAGAACAGACAAAATAATTCTCTCTCACTGTTTACTGGTTCAACATATCCATACCCTTCCTTCAGTCTCAGGACAAGAAAACACCACTCACCTGTTTGAGTTTCTCCAGCTGAACTTTACTTTCATTTAGCTGCAGTTGAGTTTCCTGCAGTTTCTCTTTTAGATCTCCATTCTCTTGCAACACCTGCAGATACAACTGAGATAACAAACAAGAGTATAAACCAGCTCTTATATTACTCATCGGTATCTTTATGAGTGTTGCGTAAAGAAATTCATTACCTTTCTAAAATAATGAGAAGAGTGTCTGGAATCATCTAACAGAGGATCCCTACAAAAACAAACAACACTGTTAAAAATATCATTGCAAAAGCCTCAACATTATTTTCTCAATGTGAGCTTATAAGAAGCTTATTTAAAACTGTGCACTAATTAATCTGACAATTCCGACAAAAAAAGGAACCCAAACCGCTCAAACAAAACTATACACCAGGAGATGTAGAAAACCTTAAAAAACAAACCTTATGCTCTTGTCTTTTTCAGCATCTTCATTTGCATCAAAATCATCCATCTGAACAAAAGTAAAATCCCAATACAAGTCAGTAATTTTACATTTTTTAAGTAAGGAATTTCTTTGCCACTAGTGACACCCAACACAACTGCAATAGGGGTGTAAAAGTGTTTTACACTGTATAAAGTAATCGGCCTAACAACAAGAATACTATATTCATTCTGAAATCCTCTATAGTCATTTTCAATACAATCAATAACAAAACCGGCACCACTCGAATTTGTATGAAACAAGAGTTTTGGGACGACCGCATCATTATATTGTTGAAGTCTTTGTCAGGGTTGGAAATTAACTTTTTTTTTGTTACCAATAATGTTATCAACATCATCTTCAAACTGCAAAGGTGGAACAGAAACTGCATTTGACATGGCTAGTCCTGCTTGACATGACAACTAGTGCGATTGTTTATAATGTGCAAAAAAAAAAATGGGGACAAAGAAATCCGACGCAACATGAGCAGATCTAAATTTAGTGCACAATTAATACTTTTAATTAATTTTCACATTTCACTTTAAAGGTGCCATGTGTAAGAATTGGCGTTAAAATGTCCAAAAAAATGAGCTGCACGCATCAAAAGAATGAGAAGAATTAAGGTTGATGATGTCATTAAAAAAAATGACAAGTTATTGCTGCAGAGATATCAACCTGAATTAGCATGCTAAATTACTAGCCCCGGCCCGGCAGGTGTCATAATACCAGTTTCGGCCATGGGAGGCGGTATGCGAGTGGGCAACATAATCACCAGCCAAACTGCAATACACAAATAACTCGCACGGCTTGTGGGCGTACTTGAACCTGATGTCAGTCGTGTGGAAAGTACAGCCCACTACTACATTTCAAATGATTGGTCGATATTATGTATGAGGAATACATTTTGGTAAGTTGTAGCATATTGTATCTTTCAATGGTGTTTTTCATTAGCTAGTAGAGATGATCGGTTCACGTGCGCTAGGTGCGAGTCAGCGAATGGTGTCTGTCAAATTAATGTAGTAAAACGAACAATAAAAATATGAACAAAACGAATACCGTAAAACTTTAAATAATAGCCCGGCTTTTATTTTCCCAAATTGTGCGCGAGGGAGAGAGCAAGCACTCATGTTGTTTGAAGACGTGAGAGTGCGTGCGTGCGGCCGGGGCGCTCCCTCTCTCTCCTCGTTATGCGCCCTGTCAAGCGCAGCATTCATTCTATTCTATTCATTTTATTCTATTGCTCAGCTTTGGCTATGGCTCTAGGGTCGTTGTGAAGCATAGCATAGGGACTATGCCATTTCTCGTTTGTTACTACTTTCTGGAGGTATACTGCCCCCATCTGGTATGGAATGTAGAGTATGAATAAATTTTATCTGACACAAGGCCGTGGGGTCGGCGGTATTGCCCGCGATACCAGCTCACTTTTTTATTATTTTATAAGTGCAAAAGAGACTCAAAATACTCTGCTGATTTTGATCTTACATATAAGTGTTAAACATCATTCAATCCAGTTTAAAAGCAACTGATAAATGCACAAATGTCAGGGCATGTCAAAACATCTCAAGGACCCCAAAAACACATTAGACCCCAGAGGGTTAAGTGTGATAGCTGTAATAGGTTTAGTTTAATTGTCAGTCCCTCCAGGATTTCACGAATTTTTTTTTGTGATTTTTGCGATCAAAATGACTGATTTTGTGGTGGTAATTTCCAAAAATTTGTGAAAAAATTTGCGATTTATATATAACATTTAACATAATAGTATTCAGTCCTTCCAGAAAAACGCTGAGTTTTTTTGTGATTGTTGCGGGCAAAAATTGATTGATTTTTCCCGTTTTCTTTAAAAATGCGATGGAATATGCGGGATATTTATGCAATTTTATGCGATGAAATTGCAGGAATTTGCAAAAATTGCGGTTCAATGAAAAAGAGAAAAAAAGTGATTCCCCCAACATCCTGTTCTCACTAGGCTAATGTAAGAGTCATTTCTTATTACTTCCTTTGATAAGCAAGCATCATAGAAAGTGCTGGGAATATTTAATTTCTCATCTTGTTTTATTTCGTACTGAAATGAGTGTAAATAAATTGTGGCCCCTTTAAGAGCTGCGCGCTCCCTGTTGAACTCTCTGCAGTGTTATATGTGCGCCTCGAACACCCCATGTGTGCGGGTAATTTCTGTTTGATGCTACTTCTTTTATCTTATGTTGTTTATTAAGTAACGACGTGACGGTAGAACGTGTGACAGACAGTTATACGAGTTCGATTTGTGAGATGTCAATCGCCTCCGTGAGTCTGTCTGGCGTCGCGTAATTGCGTCACTTCATAACGTTCCCATGGAAACAGGGGGAAATGGCTGCTCTTGTGTGAAGCAAACGCAACATTTTTCAACTTTCTGCTAAGATACATGTGACTTTTTGCAACGAAAATGCGAGGATTATGAAATTATGCAAACCCCGCATATTTTGCACGGAAATCGGCAATTTATGCGGCGAAAGTGCGGCGTATTTGAAAAAATGCGGCCCCCGCATAAATTTGCGGACTTTGGCTGATTTTGCATTGAATTCAGCGATCGCATAATCACGTTTTTCTGGAGGGACTGAATTGTGCAGGGGCAACTTTGTTTATTTAAGTCCCCATTAATTTCCAAATCCTGATCTCTGTTCATATCATAGACCCTTTGTCATGTACTGTTTGTGTTTGCATAACGGTTGATATCCAGTTAAAATCATTATCATAAAAAACATTATAATTTAACTTTCCATTCATACACTTAAAAAAGAAAAAGAAATCGCGAATAGCCACTATTTTAAATCAAGTCAAAAAGGAATCAACCACAAACTCCTGTTCTAAAACATTGTTGTGGGCAACATTAGCCGAAAATGAAGGCACAGATACACATTTCCAAAATGTATTATTATTATTATTTTTTGTGTAATATTCTGACGAGAAGCTGCAAAAAAAAGCATAATTTTTTAAATAAAAAATGCACTAGGAGTAAGAATGCAGAATGAGAACTGAGTTTTTAATGAATGTTTGAAGCTCACCTCTTCAGCCAGCTGAACGATACCAGTAGAGCGTCTCTCTTTCCTCCCTTTCCTGCGATCTCTCACTCCTAGTCTTGTCTCTGCCTCTCCAGATTCCTTCACTGGCTCTATGTCTATTACAGAGAGAGAAAACGTCTTGGTTACTAACGCAACCTCGGTTCTCTAGAAGTGGGAACGACTGTTGCGTAAGGTAGCTTAAGCTACGGGAAAAAACGGTTTTCTTGGGAATACTGAAGCCAAAAATTATCCTTATAATTTGTATTAATTTAAATACAGACCTAGGCGAGGCAGCTTGCGACAATAAGCCAGAACTCGATAGGATGCTCCTTGGTTTTCATTAACTTAAGCGAAACCAGATGGTAGCACAAGCACGGCAGGGTTACACAACACTCGTTCCCTCTTCTAGGAACGAGTGTTAACTACATTAGTAACCGAGACGTTCCCTTACGAAAGTACTCCCGTGTTGCGTAAGCTAGCTTACGCTAAGGGAACCCAATTTAAAACGCAGTGCGTGCTAAATCTACCACAACACTAACCCAAAGGCGAGTACCCTGAGCTCATATGATATGGGGATATAAAAAGCCGAAGGATGGGTTTAATTATAATGATATACGGCAAACGTGGTTACCTTAAGTGAATAAGGGTGCTTACTGCTTAACACTGTATAACAGTCAGAGGAGGCATTAGCCTGCCTGAACTAAACTTTGCAGTTTGCGGAAGCGAGTCCGGCAGAACTAAACAGATTAACTAGACTGATAACAATCTAGCTTGAAGAGCGAAAAATTCCAGGTTATAGAAACGTATAAATGTAGATGGAGAGGCCCATCCTGCCACCATACAGATATCTTGAAGAGAAATCCCACTGGACCAGGCCCACGAAGAGGCCATGCCTCTAGTGAAATGAACTCTGAAGGGCAACGAAGGCACTTAGCCAATCAGCACTTATAAGCCAGTAAGACAGCGTCCACTATCCACCTGGAAAGGCTACATTTCGAGGCAGCTAGACCTTTAGATCGGCCACCAAAAGCAACAAAGAGCTGTTCTGACTATCTAAAAGCAGCCGAACTTTCCACGTAAATTCTCAGGGCCCTAACTAGACAAAGGTGGCGGGAAGGCAGTTTTCTGTGCAGGCGGTTTTTACCTAGAGTGTGCTGATGCGGAACTAGAGCGTCGAGGGATGAAGTGCCTGCAACGTCTTCTGGACCTCTGAAAAAAGCTCCACAAACCCATCAACAGTTTGCCCCAAAAAGCCCGGAAGGAGATACAAGCGTGTCAAGGAAGGAGGCTCTGTCAGCATCCTTCATATCTTATACGTAGCGTCAGCCACAAATGTCTCTCGACAACGGTAAGGGACGCCATGGTACATGGTCCCGATTCCCTGGGTGGCTCCCAGAGCTAGGTCTGTGGTGTTCCTCAAGTCCCTCAGAATGCTATCCAGCGGAGGGTGGGCAAAGGTGTGTTGCGATCGCTTCTTCGACCGGAGGAATGGAAACATATCCTTCGTCCTTCGTACAGTCCACAATAGAGAGCCTCGAAGAGACAAGTGATTGCAGTCTGGCCGAAAAAGGAGCATTCCAGAATTTTGAATGCTCCTTGTGCAGTTCAGGAAGAAATGGGGCGAGCCTTGTGGGAGGCACTGCACGGACAACAGGGAGAAAGCAGCTGTCGAGTCTGTTGGGCGCGGGCTCATCGGACAGTGACTAATCCAGGCCGAGGTCCTCCACAGCCCTCTGAGAGCGGCGCTTCTTAAGGCGTGGCGCAGAAGAGGGAGGCGGAGGCGTGGAATCCACCTTGAAGAAGGCCATGGTGTCACACTCGGGACATCTGCCCTTAGTACGTGGTCCACGTGGTCTCGGCCCGAGCAGGAAGAGCACAGGATATGGCGGTCCCCATTGGCGAGAGGGGCTCTGCTCGAGCCACAGGAAATACGAGGCATTTGTATCAACCTCGGCTCTTTTAGTCAGAGAAAGTGAGAAACGTGAGTGTCGCGGCAGCAACGCTGAAGCAGGGTGGGAATTATGTAATTTTAGGGGCAAGGCCATTTGGCCTCCACCTTTTCTTTTCTTTTTAGGGTCACCAAGGCCATATGACAGGGCACAAAGGCCATTGACTACAATTGGATGGTTTTCCCATTCAGAATAATACCATAACATCCTAATTTGGAATAAGACATGAATTATGACTTTTTTAATTAAAAAAAAAAAATGTAATGAGAGAGAGATTACATTCTAGAAGGTAAAAAATCAGACAACGATCTAATGCAACGATGATAAAGTTTATCGATTATCATAACATTATAGATATAATCTATTGTTATGAAAATGCCTGACATGGCTAGAAGAACACAGGTAAGTCAAATATCATTGCAAAAATGTTTATTGTCTTCAAAACGACATAATCTGCATGTTACAGAGATCTGTTAGCTCTGTTTGTGGTCTGTTCATGTGTTTCAAATATGACAATATAATATAATGTTCAGTAGAGCGCCCTCAGGCTGCTGGTATGAATTGAAAACAGCACATCAGTATACAGTACATGCTCATAATGATTACATCGATGCATTTGGCTCTAGAATAGAATATTATTCCTGTCAATAGAAATCTGAGGTAAACTGAGAATATACCAATATTTAGCCAAATCTGCACACTTTTGAGCTAAAAGCCGTGAGAGACGTTGTTTTGTGAATCGCTGTCATGACGACAGCACAGTAGTTTTTTTATGAATGGGAACGTCTGACGCAAATTAAGACATAACTGTATGTCAATATAAATTTCTCAGAATATAATAGTGGTCAAATACTGAAACGTGAGTCTTCTATCTTTTTAATGATGTATAGTTTGTCAAGGTAATAACATTAAATCTTATGAACTTTGAACTATTAAAAAAATGCTTCAGTGACAGTGTGCCGATGCACTGCCAATGGTTAACAGGTTTAAGATACCGGTAAGTCTAAGTGTTAAGTTCAGTCAAATCCTAACCTAATCTATCATATCAAACCGGCTTAGCTCGTTTGCTATGCTAATATTTACCTGAGTGTCGTTCGTCTGTCGGTACTGACGTTATGTGCTTCTTGCACTGCTGTTTTGAGGCGTGAGATTGACACTGCACCTGCAATCGCGAATCCACGAACTAATTGAAGTTCAGAAACTTCTTGAATGGCTCGCTGTAATTCAAAGCAAGCCCTCTATGCCGCACTGGCGCTTTATACATGGAACTTGGACAGGGCCAGGGCACACAGGCCACTGTGGCCGTAGGATTTTTTTTTCACGGGGCATGACAGCCAAAGTGTAGGGAAACGGCGGCCATGGCCGCGTGGCCACGGTATAATTCCAAAACTGCGCTGAAGAGATGAAAATGAAGGAGCACCCTATCGAGCTCTGGCTTATTTAGGCATAAGCCACGCCCATTCAAGCGGGACGTGACGAGCAGTCTCTCGATAGGTTGCAGCAGTTGCTGCAGAGCAGCCAATAGGCATGCGAGCTGCCTCGCCTAGGTCTGTTCGAGCAAATGCGTTTTAAATTAATACAAATTATAAGGATAATTTTTGGCTTCAGTATTTTCAAGAAAAGAGTTTTTTCCCGTAGCATAAGCTAGCTTACGCAACACGAGAGTACTCTCGTGAGATAACTCAATATCCACACAGAACTCATACGGAATCGAAAAGATCAAAGAGTCATTACTCTCAACTGAAAGGGCAAATCAAGGTGCTTCACACACACTTGATAAGACTCACCTCTCTCAGCTGGTGTTACTGTGATGTTGGGGCTCACAGGCTGAACACTGAGGTTCTGAGGTTCATTGATTTTAACAATACTCCGTTCTGCTTCCTTAAGATCTGTCAGTGTTACTCCCTGGAAAAATAAATAATAATAATGAAAAATAAGCATTTTGAACAGTGTGCACAATGTGAGTGATTAGGGGTGTGAACACACACCTGTGTTGATCGGCGTGACTGCCGCATGAGACGCGAGCGAGCTTTCCTCTGAAACTCTGATTCCTCGTCTCTCACTGGAGCCTGAAACCTGAAAACAATTTAATCATTATTGAACATATGAACAGAGCTTATTAAAAACATGTATTTATTTACATAGTACTTTTACATACTTTAATAACTAGTGAAATTTAGTGATTTCTCAATACCAACTTTGATTCAAAATATTTAAAAACAGCTACGAAACACTCAGCCGTCTAACTGCTGTAGAGATACATTTATAAAAAAATATCTCTGCAGTAGAGAAAAAATTTACAATTTTGATTTTAATTATAAAAGTTCTATTCAAAACTAAATATAGCTTCGAATCAAACAAGTAAATATTAATAAAGAGGAGCAACATGCATCATGACATTACAAGCAACAAAAAACACAGGAGCCACTCAAGTGTTTTTTGCTAGTTTTAACTCGGCAGAATTATTTTCACATCCTGTGCCACGTTGTTTAAATAGCAAATGCATTTGCCTCCATCTGTTCACCCACGGGCGTGTTGGTCTGAAAACGAGTAATATGCGCCTATAGGTGGGTGCCTAAATTCGTTTGCTCTCTAGAGAAACATTCAGTCTTTCAGCTTGGAAATTCTGCCATGTAAATAGCAAATCCACCGTGGCGCAAGCACAACTGGCTTTTAAAGGGAATGAGAGATGAGACTGGTTTATTGCACGTTACACCCAAAACACACCCATTACTCATTAAAGGGTTAGTTCACCCAAAAATGAAAATTCTGTCAGTATTTACTCACCCTCATGTTGTTTCAACCCCGTAAGACCTTCGTTCATCTTCGGAACACAAATTAAGATATTTAAGATATTAAGATCGCTCCTGCATACAGTCCATAGGCTTCTTGAGGGACTGGCTCTTGCTGTCCCCGAAAAGTCATTAAAGACATCGTTAAAATAGTCCAAGTGACTACAGGGGCTCAATCTTAAGTTTATCAAACGACGAGAACACATTTTTGTGCGCAAAAAAACAACAAAAATAACAACTTTATTTCAACTATTCACTTCCTTCTCGATGAGCCTGTAAGTCAGTTAACGTAGTGTGATTGCGTAAAGCTACGTCACACGTAGGCTCACTATTGGCCGACGCTGGTCATGTGTGATGCGTGTGACGTACAATAACAGAAGCTTACGCTATTAAACTAGTAACCTGACTCGCGCAGAGGGAGAAATAAACGAATAGTTGAAATAAAGTCGTTATTTTTGTTGTTTTTTTGCGCACAAAAGTGTTCTCGTCGTTTGATAAACTTAAGATTGAGCCCCTGTAGTCACTTGGACTATTTTAACGATGTCTTTAATGACTTTTCGAGGACAGCAAGAACCAGTCCCCCAAGAAGCCTATGGTCTAGTATGCAGGAGCGATCTTAATATCTTAAATATCTTAATTTGTGTTCCGAAGATGAACGAAGGTCTTACGGGGTTGGAACAACATGAGGGTGAGTAAATACTGACAGAATTTTCATTTTTGGGTGAACTAACCCTTTAAGAGAATCGGGACAACCCTTTTAGACCCTTTTCAACAAAAGTGGATTCGGACAGGGCCTCAGTGCACATGCGCTGTACGCTTTAGACCATGTGCTTAGATCGTTAAAATAGGGCCCAAAAGCATGAAAATAAAATGAGGTGTTCCTGTAAAGGATTCGTTTCTTTGAATCAAGCGATCTTACTTCCTTCCGTCACTAGAGGCGTTACTGGGGCTCTCAGCGGGTGACTCTCGCCTCTGAGGGGTGGGCTGCACAACTGCTGTGCGACTCGCTCTGTCCTGATCATTCACCTTGACTTCTTTATCCTCACTGGTCTGAAAAACACAAACAGAGTGATTAACGTCAAGCACCAGCAGAGACCTTTCGACCGTGAAAGCTAAGACAGAAGAGTGTGTGTCTTACCTCTGAAGAAGGAACAATGCTTTCTGGAGATGATACTGTTGAACTTTCTAGAACAAAACAAACAAACAGATTGAACTATTGTACAGGTATGTTTCATGTATGTAAATATGATAATGCTGCTGTATAAGTTTGAGAGAGAGAGAGAGAGAGAGAGAGAGAGAGAGAGACCTGGGCTGCTTTCTCTCTCATCGTTGAGATCCAGGCCACCTGAGACCCCTCGTTCTTTAGACTGGTCCTGTACACATATTTTGTCCCTGCTGCTCATCCGGCACACAGAGCTTCTGAGAGAGAGAGAGACATGAGTGAAGATGCCTGTGACAGACAAAGACTAATAGACAAATCATCTTTCTCACCTGCGTTTCTTGTTTGCAGTGTTGGCATTTGAGATCTGTGAATTCTGTTGCTCAAAAAGTGCCTGTTCAGTCCTCCACTAAAATAAATACACAAACGTTTATTTAATTATCACACTTCATTAATATACCAGATTTAATTCATTTTCTGATTAAACATCATAGTAATGAGTGATTTATTTCACTAGGGTTGAGTCTGCACCAAAATAAATAAATAAACAGCCAGACTTGACAATGACACGACTTATTCATTGAAAAAAAAAAAAGGTTGTCAATAGATTAATTAATAAGTTAACACATTAACATAGTTGGTTTTTAAGGACAGAAAAAAATAGATCTAAAATATACTATATTTTTTTATTTCTTTATTTTTTACTGGGTTTCCATGTGTATGTGTTAAAGGACTCAAAAGTGTTTAATTAGCCTTGTATTATGAACTTTAGGAAACATGGAAAGATAATTAAAAATACTTTCCGGTCTTTCTGAGATATATAAAAATTATAGATAAAAAAAATTTGGTCTATTTTTCTTGCCTACTTTATAAATTTTTTTCCATAGTAAATAATGTGAAAAAGTGAATAATGGGGAACAGCCAGGGAGAGCAATGTGAGTGATGATTTACAGAAATGAAAGAGATTCCAAGTGTAGTCCGTTAGAGAAATTCTGAGATTCAAGACTGCAAGTGTCTGTTCTCTTTCATATTGGCAGAACAAAGTAAAAGAAAGCAGAGCACAAACAAGTCGCATCACAAAAATATATATGCCTAACTGATGGCCTGCAGGCCGAATGTGGTCTAATTGGTTAAGGTAACTGATAACTATATACAGGTAACTGTACACACACACACATATATATGTATATACAGTATATATATATATATATATATACATACATATATATATATATATATAATCATTTGTTCCCATCCTTGATTCTGATTGGTCAATAGCTGTCCTTTATTCATGATAAAACAAAACTATGACCGATGGTTTGGTTCTATTTATCACTGCGCAACACTGCAGTTCCTATGTTGTTTTTAGTGATTTTACTTCATGAAAGTCCGCTCTGCTTCGCGTCGTGCCTAACAACGCCCTTCAGCTATTACTTATTCAAAATACAGCACTTGCCTCGTGTACCTTGATCAGTGGCGCAAAAAGTGGGTATGCGCTATATGCGGCGCATAGGGGCGCAGCACAATGGGGGGCGCCAAAGCGATGGTAAAAAAAAAAAAAAAAAAAAAAAAAATTATATATAGGCTACAACGGCAGCTATTTCTATATGTAGCTGCCATTGTGCGTTTCTAAATCATTTCTGCATTCCTTCAATGTTATATAACATTTTAGAGGACTAACAGCCAGGCTAGAGTAGGCGCCCTCATGGAGAAGGGGGCGGGTAATATCGCGAGCGGGCGGGGGCGCCGTAAGCTCTGAGCGAGCAGGTACGAGTAGTTAGTTGTCGTCGAAAAAGATGGATAAAACAAAATGCTGTGGTGCTCAAAATAGAAAAAGAAAGAGAGAAAAGGAGATGGCATGTCAATTGATGCGACAGCACCTAAATAACTGCATGCATTGCTGAAATCCAACAGGTAGGATTTAAAATGTGACATCCAGGCATGGCTATCTATATCTCGGTGGCCATCGGGACTGAGATTCCCGCTGGGCCGACGTGCTTTTCAGACAATACATTTCATCCTTTTTTAATTTATTTGTCTTAACGGCCCACAAAACTCATACATCGACGGCCCATTTGTTTGTTTGTTGTTTGTTTTTGTTTTGTTTTTTGCTTAATTGGCGGCGCTGTGCTGGTGTAATGCATTGGTCAAAAAAAGTCAGCTTTAGTTTTTTTTTTCTGACACACTGGCCAATGAAATATGTCATTATGCGCAAGTATCTTTCAAGTATAGAAATTAGTGCAAAACTAATTATGAAAGTTTCCTTTATTTTTCTGTGCATTTGTTTTACAATAGCCTTTATGGCAATTACTATCATGGGATTAATATTATAACTATTATTTTGTAGTAGTGTAATTTATACAGACACTAACTAAAAGAGGATCAAAATTTTCTCTGTTTAATTTGCACCCTGAATATGGGTTGGAGCTTTTAATTTTGAACTCTCAAAGTGCACCAGACTGCTGAATTTAGCATTACGGAACACAAAATTTTCTTACGGGGGAGCATGCCCCCGAACCCCCCTAGAGAAACAGAGGTCCACCTACCACAGTTTTACCTAAAATCCTGTGAGAAACACTGGTATTGCTGTTCCAATGGAGCTTATAGTTTTCTTAGGGGGGGGTTCATCAAGGTGGAGTAGCTATAGTTTAATTGTGTTAATAAACGACAATTTTGCACTTATTTTTTCTGTTAGCTCTCATTTCTTCCTACTCACTTATTACATAGCACACTTACATTACATTTATTTTATTTTTATTTATTTATTTAACTTTTTTATTTTTTTTTTTTGGGGGGGGGGGGGGGGGGGGGGCACTAAAATTGTTGCTGCATACCCCTCCGAAACTGGGTAGTTGCGCCCCTGACCTTGATGCTTGCGTAAATCAGTCTAGGAGGAATAATTGACAACCTTTACCAACAGACTGCGTTCAGCCCGCAGGCCACCAGTTGGCATGCTATATTACATGCAACATGCTGTGAATTTCTTCCTTTTGTGTGTATAAAATGACTGATTGATTTAGATCGAATTGTGTGTCTGTGTGTTCTCACATTAGCCTGTCTTTGAGACAGCTCTTCTAGTAAAGAAACAACGCTCTCGTCCGCCACATCAAATGGAGTCTGACCCTTAAAAACAAAAAAACTTTCAGTTATTATCATTTCCCAAACATGCACGCACACCCACACACATTATGAAACAGAATTATGGCTAACTGCAGTGCTGCTGCTGCCTGCAGAACTGTGGTGCATATTGACACAAAACAGTAGCTCAACACTTCCTCTTCCTTTAAGAGAGAATGAGCCCACTGCAATTTTTTTTTTTTTTTTTTTTTGCTATTCTATTGCTTTTACTTTCCCATTTAGAACTATGGTACATCTCTGTGTTTTTATGATTACAGTATATTGGCTGTTGTTAACACATTTCTTGATGTGAACTAAGTATAACACATAAAAATAGAAATAGATAAGATAATAATATAAAATGTGGCACAATGGTGGATTTGACTTTGTACCAGGTGTATACCTGTCTCAGGAAGACAGCTTTGTTTCTCATAGACAACAGTTCTAAGCAAACAGAATTGTTCTCATTCAGTGCACTCAATCCCTTGATCCCTCACCCCATTGCTAATGGCCTCCATGTCACACAGCTGCTCGGCAAGCAGGCGGCAGGCTTCACTTTGCCCCCAGTGAGCCGCAGCATGGAGAGGAGTCCAGCCATCGTAGTCTTTAGAACTCACATCCAGACCACATTGACACAACAATCTGAGAGAGAGAGAGAGAGAGAGAGAAAATGGAAGAAGGTATTTTAAATCAACTGTGTCTTCAATATAATGTAGACACAAGCTCTGTTCCAAAACCTAGTAAACATTTTAAAGGCAGCCAGGCAATGGTAATGAAACAAAGAAACACTTTTTTTTTTTAAATGTTAACACATATGGATTGCACACATAGCTAAAAAGAATATCACACAATGAATATTAAGGGGAAAGTGGTTAGTTTCAGTTATTTTGATCCATTTCATTCTTCACAGAATGTTTGAATTATTTCTAAATTGTGATTAATTTAGCTATAGCTAATTTTTCCTAAAATTACTTTGTGAAGAAAATAAAATTAATCCCAAAAAAATGCCCTCTTTGATTTGTGACCAAGAGGAGGTAGCTTCCAAATTCAAAAACAAAAAAGGTACCTTTGGTAATCACATTTATGGTAAACAAATATTATAAGTGCAGCAAACTCATTGCAGTTTTGAATCCAAAATATATGTGATTCGTGCAGAACCACAATTTTTGAGGAGTGGTGAGGAAATCAGCCTAAAATTCTATGCAAATGACCACTGAAGACTTTCGGCATTTAATGAGATATTTTTTATTAATCGACATAAATGTCAGTGATATGTGAAAATGCCTTTTGTTTCTCAGCTGGTTGCATGCTTACAGGAGTGCAAGCACAAGCATTTGCACTCTTAACACCTACAACATGTGACCACAAATGGCAAGAGATAACAGCTTCTAATTTACAAAACACGCTTCTATTACACTCCAAACCCACCAAAAAAAAAAAAAAAAAATCTAACCAAATAATTACAGTTAAAATTAAAGTAATTAAATTTTAGGATTCCAGAAGTTTTAGGACCTGAATGTCCTTCAGGGCTCACACTTTTTAACCAATGAATTTACACAACTCTTCCCATTGTTTAGTATTTACTAAGAAGTTTAAAATTTTTAAATCAACTGTGCAACTGCTAAAGACCATTGCACATAGGACATTCTCTCAAAAGATTGTCAATAAACATTTTAGCAAGTTCCAGTCTGGCTTTTTAATAGGTTTTTTGTTTGTTTTGTTTTCTGTTTTTTGTTTTTAACAGTATAGCCTTTCTGGGTCTTCTTCCATGAACCCATGTTCCATGTTGCGCAAAAAGCAGAGGATGGTGCAATCAGTCACTGAGGATCCTGACCTTGGAGTTCAGTTTACATCTCTTTGGAAGTTTTCCTTGGCTCTTTGTCTACCATTTGTACTATCCTTCTTTTCAATCTGGGGACGATTTTGCTGTTCCCAGGGAGATATCTACAGTCCCAAGAACCTTAAACTTCTTAATAATACTTGCACTGTAGTGACGGGAACATCAAGCTGCTTGAAGATGGTCTTATAGCCTTCAACTTTACCATGATTCTATGATTTTATTTCTGATCTTCCACAGACAACTTTCTCGTTTTGCTTTCTCTGGTGCATGTTCTGTATGGTGTACACAATTATACCAAACTAAACAGTAGGCCTACTACTTTTTTCCATTATAGACCATTTCACAAGATGTAAACAACACTGGTCCAGAAGCACTTCCTGTTTCAGTTTTTTAACACTACATAAAAGCTGGGATAAAATACAACCAACAGAACGTTTAAAACTGAATCAAAAAGTTAAACAAACATCTTTAAGATGTTTTCTTCACATGTGAGATAAAGAAAACTGTTACAAACTGAAACAGGAAGTGCTTCTGGACCAGTGTTGTTTACATCTTGTGAAATGGTCTATAAAAAAACTGAATGACTGCTTACAAGATTGAAGACATGTGTGATACTAATTAAGCAAATCAGTTCGTTTGAATCATCACTAAAATACAATTATTTGAATTCTTTCTTTCTTTCTTTCTTTTCTTTCTTTCCCAAAGGCATGCAGATATAAAATTCCTTTTAATTTAATCAGTTTTCTGGAGGAATGACGCATTTTTTTTTCAATGGGTATCTGTACGTATATTCCGGTTTCCAAGACTATGTTTTTGGAATTCTGGTTCATCAAAGAAAGCAAACAGTTGCTGAGAGGAGTATATTAAAATAAGTATATATTTTTATTTCATTTTACATATTTGAATGCTTGTTTTGTCTTTTTTTTTTTACTCCCTTTAAGTAATCTTGAGGCCCCTTGGAAGTTTACTGAGGGCCTCTAGAGCAGTGGTTCTCAACTATTTTGGCCATGGGACCCACATTTTCCCATGGTTATTAAGCCACGACCCACTTATCCTTATTTTTCTCTTTATTTTGTTACAAGTGAAACAGCACGCGAGCATTCCTGTCTGATAAGAGGAAAAAAAAAATTCTGATGTGAGAGACTTTATTTTGTAACAAGTTATGAAAATAACATAAGAATAATGACACTGACACATACTGTAGCTTAACAACATCTCATCTGACAGAGATACTGAATCAGGACATGTCTCAGGCACTCTTTACTTAACAACTTTCCTCTTTACAAAAGAGTCAACAGCTTTCATGCACATCTTTCAAAATAAAAGTGTTGCATTAGAAAAAAACACATTTAGAATAATAATTAAAAAATGTTTTGCTGATGTTTCTTTGACTGCACAGTCTACAACCCACTCAAAGCGGTCTTGTGACCAGTTGAGAAACACTGCTCTAGAGGGCCCCATCCCCTGGTTGAGAATCACTGGTTTAAATGATCAGACTAAATGTAGTTGTGGTGAAAGTTTACCTACTCCCCCCCCCGCCCCCCCCCCCCCCCCCCGCCCCCAAAAAAAGTTATTCCCTAGACTCTTCTGTCTCATGACTAATATCAACTCTTTAGTCTTGGTCTGCCCACATATTGTAAAGTCAGAATAAAAATGTAGGGCGGGATTTAATTTTGTCTATTGGGAATTTATTGAAATGTTGTGGTTTGCTATTGCTATGATCTCGTCATTGCAAGAGGGAGGGGATTATTTGTGTTATATGATGTGCACAGATGAACCACAGATATAATACATAGTGCACAGGCACTGCAAAAATACTGCAATAATATAATATATAAATACTGCACAAATCCACGAAAAATAGAAATTGGCATTTTTTATTTATTTATTTTTTTATGAAGACTTTAAAGTCTGGGTGAAACCTATACTGAGACATTGCAACATTCCATGAAGCATTTTGATTTCAAGGTGACTTTAAAGTTCATCTCCATAGAGTGTGTTTGTAGGTTTGCCTTCTAATGCTTTCTCTGGGAATGACAATGACTAGTTATTCTTTTTCTCTTCAGTCACATTTTGGGATTTCATGCAGTGTACAAGAAGCTGATGTGCCTTCTGATCTAATCGAGGCACACTCCACTCCTTCTCCACTTTGCATAGAGACATGAAATAAACAATGGCTATCCTGTGAACAGAGAACTCCCCAATGGCGTGGTAAGACACCCAGCATGAGTATGGGGTTTTAAACTGGTCAAATAAGGGTGGATTGGTCCCTATGGTTTGAGGCCAAACACTACAAAATTCATTAATCACTGAGATGCTAGTAGTCTAAGGTAAAACTTAAACTTACAATTTTGCATAATACCACATTACCATTTTGCAATGCAAAGATTTTTTACCCCACCGTTCCCTGTTTGGATTCATACTTACTTAATGGCCTCCAAATATCCTTTAGCTGCTGCAACATGTAAGGGAGTAGCACCAGTCCGGGGGTGGCAAATATTAGCAGGTAGCCCGTCTGTGAGCCAATGGCGGGCATCATGCATGATCCACTCCTCTTCTGCCCGCTTAGCTGCTTCCACATCCATACCTGATAAGAGATGGACTGATTACAAGTGTATCTCCTACACTTCTGCATAAAACAACAAAATATGCAAGATCCTCTGAGGAGAATTATCTAATAAATGTATGTCTGTTATTATTATTAATAATTTTAAATTAACCAGATGATTTTGGTGTGGAAAAACTAATTAAATGTAAATGTACTAATCTACACATGTCTAGAAACATACATAATGTTTATAATTATGGAAATATTTTGTTAAAGGTGCAATGTGTAACAAAGTTGAGTATCTGTTAACAGAAATGCAATATGACATCCATAACTATGTTTTCAGTGGTGTATAAAGAACTTACTTAATTAGCCGTAATGTTTTTATTACCTTAGAATGAGACATTAATAGCTCCATAACCGAGGGAATCCCCTTCTATGAAGGTCGCCATGTTGTGACGTCATATTCCTACCGTAGCCGAACGCGAACACACAGCGCTACAGAACGCGTTTCATCACTACCTTGAAAGAGAAGTAGCGGAAAGCTGGAAGCTAGCCTTACACTCCGTGAGTTGTGACTTTTCCCTTGTGAGTGGTGTAAAATATGTAGTTGGGATTGTTTTATGTAACTTAGTTCTCCCTCGCTGTGTTATGGGTTTGTTATGTTGGGGATAGATGTGCTGTTACGTTCGTGAGACAGCTGATGATTAGTATTCATGTCATTGACCGTAAAACAGTACGTTACAGGAATCACTAACCCGTCGATAGAGACTTTTACTAAAGTCTTTTATCACTAAAGTCGATCGCGAAGAATTTTAAAAATCAGAGAAAAATATAGCCTATATTGTGTGTAGTAAATAGTATCTATGGGATGCGGAGATGACATGATTGTAACAGCGCGCGCACTTCCGACCTTTGGACTCATGCAGACGCGTCCCAGCTCAGCCACAGTAACAGCTCATATTAGCCAGCTAAACTATTACTACCCTGTTAGAAAAAATATATAGCTGCTCCCTCGCTGTATTATGGGTTTGCTACAGTATGTGGGGAGAAATGTGCTGCTGGTTACGTTTGTGAGACAATCAGCTGATTATTATTTTATTAAATTATATATTAAAACCCTTGATCCTCACCTGACTATGGCTTTGTAAACAGACAGTATTCATGATGTGGTTTATAATGGACTGTGGTACAGAAACAGTGACAATGTTACACACTCTTGGCTTACTCTGGCTATTCTCTGCTGTCTCAGCCGACGAGATGTTTGTCACGTTTTAGCAACCGTAGCTTCTTCGAAAGGGAGGGGTGAGCAGTGGGCTGAGCCCTTAGTGCAAACCTGGTGCAAACTCGCAACCGAACCACTAGATGTCGCTAAAAGTCACACATTGCTCCTTTAAGTTATTTGTGAATGAATAGAGGGTAAATATATAAAAAGTTACATAATACACTGAGTAAAACTGCATTCAAGTTCTGTTTAATCTATGTGACTCAATCAAAAAGATCGATTGAAAAAAGATCGACTCCATCAAAAAGATTGACTGATTCGAATCTGCACACTAAAGTATGGAAGCTTGTTTCCGCCACTGAATAAAAAAATAAAGTAAATAATTGCGACTTTTTATCTCACAATTCTGACTTTTTTTCTCACAATTGCGAGATAAAAAGTCCGAATTGCGTGATATAAAGTCGCAATTGCGAGTTCTAAAGTCAGAATTGCGAGATATAAAGTCAGAATTGCGAGATATAAAGTCAGAATTGCGAGATATAAAGTCAGAATTGTGTGATATAAAGTCGCAATTGCGAGATAAAAAGTCAGAATTGCGAGATATAAAGTCGCAATTGCGAGATATAAAGTCAGAATTCCGTGATATAAAGTCGCAATTGCGAGTTATAAATTCAGAATTGCGAGACATAAAGTCAGAATTGCGTGATATAAAGTCGCAAAGCGAGTTATAAAGTCAGAATTGCGTGATATAAAGTCGCAATTGCGAGTTATAAAGTCAGAATTGCATGATATAAAGTCAGAATTGTGAGATTTAAAGTCAGAATTGTGAGATTTAAACTATTCTGAGGGGGAAAAAAGTTAGTCTTTTTTTCCCCTTAGAATTGGCCTAATAAGTCGCAATTGCGAGTTTATATCTCACAATTCTGAGAAAAGATGTCAGAATTTCGACATTTAAACTCGCAATTATGTGTTATAAAGTCAGAATTGCGAGATGTAAACTCGCAATTGTGAGAAAAAAAGTCACACTTCTGTCTTTTTTTCTCAGAATTGCGACTTTATATCACACAATTCTGACTTTATATCTCGCAATTCGGACTTTATATCTCGCAATTCTGACTTTATATCACACAATTCTGACTTTATATCTCGCAATTCGGACTTTATATCTCGCAATTCTGACTTTATAACACACAATTCTGACTTTATAACTCGCAATTGCGACTTTATATCACGCAATTCTGAGAAATAAAGTCAGAATTGTGAGATATAAACTCGCAATTGTGAGAAAAAAAGTCAGAATTGTGAGAAAAAAAGTCAGAATTGTAAGATAAAAAGTCACAATTCTTTATTATATTTTTTATTCAATGGCGGAAACAAGCTTCCATACTAAAGGGATACGGAGTTTTCCCAAAAATGTTGATTCTGCCATCATTTACTTACCCTCATGTCATTCTAAATCTGTATGCATGTCTTTGTTCTGTGAAACTCAAAAGAAGATATTTTAAAATTGTTGGTAATCACATGGTTTAGTTACCACTGATTTATCTATGTAAAAAAAATACCCTTAGTAACGTCTCAATATATATTTTGAGAAAATAAGAAAGTCATACAGTTTTGGAAAGACATGAGAGAGTAAAAAACATGTTGGGCAAACTATATAATGTTATTGATAGAATAACATTCAGGGTTTTCTTCAGATGACGTTTTGAATCTGAGAGGTCAAAAGCTTTCAAGTTGTTGAATAACCCCAGTGTGCGGACATTTGTGCTTTTATTTTATATTGTGTGCTTTGCACCTCCAACAAACTTAGATTTGGTGATTATTCTTAATAAAGGCTTTAACTTCTGCGACCTATACACGCTTCATGATGTCATCTCAAATGTTTTGTTTTCTAACCATGAGTTGAAGTGTGCTCCTGCAGCAGTGTCTCTGTGGCCTCATCCTCTGCAATGTCCAGTGGTACATCGCCATCACAGTTCACGGTGCAGAGAGATGCACCCTGCTGGAGCAGAAATCTGAAACACAAATGTAATCTTACATTGTGAACTCTGGAATGAGCTTAAACGTTTACAGCAGTCAGAAAAATGTACAGTTCACCATAAACTACCGTCAAGGACTACAGTCAAGTTGTACAGGAGTGACAGTACCAGTAAGCACAGAATAATAAATACTAACAGGGTTCATAACATTCACAACAGTCCAAGTTCTTTTACCACCTAATTAGATTTAACCCCCTTAATTAAACCCCCTAAATCTCTAAATAAAAAACCTCTGTACACAAATACAGACACATTTAAAAACGTTGCTGTAAGCAACTTATTTTGCTATTGGCAATTTAACTTTCAGTCTCAGTGCTACCTTTAAAATGCTTCTCATGAACAATACAAGATTGTATTGTATAATACAAGAAGCGCCAAGATTTTAGTAAAAGCTATGACATAAACACGATAGCTGTTCACAATGTCACTGCGCACGATAGAAGATTGTTATTTTTATTATATACTAGTCTGGGTTTCCCCATGCTGCCTTCCCGCAGCGTGATTTTATTCACGCTGAAAGGCAGTCTAGATACCATGGCCCAGATTTTCTCCGCATTTAGGGAACCAATCACAGAACGGGAGGGAGCAGCAAGACGATGACGACATCTATGCGTCAAACCGAAGCAGTTTGTTTATATCTATGAATTCAACATGGCAGCAGACGCGAAGCTACCTTTTGATGCAGCCTTATATTGTTCTAAGTAGTTTAGAATGCAAGTTTATTTTGAAAAAAGAGCAGCTTTTGGCGTTAAACTTCGAGAGACCCCAGTTATTATTGTTGTCTCGCCATTAATCGCCCTAATGGAGGACCAGGTACAGGCGGCGGTCAACCTTGGAATCTCTGCCACTCAGCTGTGTCAATAAATAAAGAATTGTCAATACCAGCTTCTGTTCGGCGGTCCCGAGGCCTGAATGAGCACAAAGTGGCAAGACATGTTAGCCACGGAGTTGTATAGTACCAACCTGCTAGGCATCGTCGTCGACGAAGTCCATTTAACTTATGAACTTATAAATGGTAAGTGGTATTTATTAATATCATATTGTCATTATGCCTATAGACTACCTACTGTGGTTGTCACAGTGCCACTAAGTTGTGTTGCTTTTCAATATCAATATATAGCTACCGCTTTAGTAGCATAACTTTCAGCTGTGCGCACATACCCGATTAAATTTGTTGACATTTTAGTCATTAAATTTAAATTTTTTTTTAAACTTGAAGTACAAGCGCAAACAATTTCCAATGCAAATAACAACTTCAACATCTATGTTAAACTGTACTTAATACTTGTGTTTTTCTAATTGAAACGATTGGCTATGAGCTACTTACAGGCTCATTTGATAGACATTCTTAGCACCCAATAAACAGCACCGGGCATTCGTAAACCACACCTCAAATATGGGAAATGAACATGTGGATCCCAGACCTAAGTCTCAACGAGAATTGTGTCTGGCGTTAGCCAGGCTAAGAGCATTGTTTTGTAACTTAAGGTACAGTGGTTCTTAATCAGGGGGTCAGGGTGCACTAGCAGGCCTCAGCAAACTTCCAAGGGGACCACAAGAAGTCCCACGAAAATGTTTTGTTTTTTAAACAAAGCAACAAAGGGAAAAGGGGCCCTCGAAAAAAAAAATTGTGGACAACTCTCCAGGCATCTTGGAGTCAAAAAAGTTCTAGAAGGATATCGCTTGATGGATTTGTTTAATAAAATAATGTTTCAATCAAAAGTTGTGTCATTAATGGTGGGAGCTATTTTTAAAGAGCCCCTATCATAGCATTTGAAATGTTCCTATTTTTGTTTTGGGAGTTCCCAAAAACAGTTTAACATGCATGCAAGGATAAAAAACACTTGATTTGTCTTATAATATGCATTTATTTTTAACTGATTTGCTCACCGACTCCCAAATGATTCGTACAACGACTCATTTTTCCAAACCACTCCTTTGCGTGACGCTAATTGGCGGTGATTAGTCAGATGACAGACCCAGTCAGTTATTGTTTGTTAGCATAACGCATAAACGTATTGATAAAGCACTGCAGTACTATAAGACGCTCTATTCTTTATGACAACTCCAATAACAGCGACAAACATTTCACATATTTAAAAAAAAATTGACATTGGAGACCTAGAAGCTGCGCTGAGCGTAACTTACACACACACACGCGCGCACACACATACTTATTGCGCCTTCCCTCCTCGCGCCGACGCTACAAAACCGTTCAAAACCCATAAAAGCAACAATTATTAATAATACTTACAGGTTTTGATTCATAGGAGGAAGCTGATCCATATACACTGGGTAAGTAAGTTACTGAGACCTCCTTCAGGAACCACCGCTTGCGAATCCACATTTGAATTAATTTATGTTTTTGAACGATTCGTCATTAAAATGATGAGAACACAATCGGGCTATACTGTTGTGGTATCATTGCAAATATGAACTCTAACCACCGATTCTTCACATGCTCGTCTCTGGTAAATGAAAACAAAGTGGCTGAACTATCTTTGCATTGTAGAACACAGCCGAGCGTCTTCTCGACATGATGCTATGATGAAGTATTTGAATGTGTAGACTTCAAGTTTACACTTCCGTCTGCGCGCACAGTAACTGGGCGCGGCCAATGACCTCTCTACGTCATGATGTAACAGCTAATGACTCGTTTCAAAAACAATTCCTTTCATAGACTCAGAGTCGACTCTCACTTTTGAAAGACAATAACTTTATATACGGTGCACTTTCAGATATAAATCTTTGCAGGATGTTTTCATTCCCTTAGAGCTATATTCCACACCATATGAACAGTCATTTTCAAAAATCCATGATAGGGGCTCTTAAAAAAAAAAAAAAACACTTTTGAAAACTGTGTCGGAGTACCAAAACACACTTGTAACCAATCAGCAGTAAGGGGCGTGTCAACTAATGACGGGGAGGAGAGAGCACTCAGAGCACACTGAACAGACATTAGCCCAACGACTGCAGAAAGAAACATGGCAGATAAAAAATAAAATAAAAATAAAAAAAAAGAGGAAAATGTATGAGGGACTTAAAATTAAAAAGAAGGCTTGCGATCAGGCATCAGGCATGAGGTAGAACTCGTGTTAATATTGGAGAAGCTTACCAGCGCTGGAGAGAACTCAAGGAGCGGGGAGGCCTAACATCGCTTTATTTCTTCTCGAGAGGTGAGTAACATTGTTTAGCTTTCTTTCACAGAACTAATATGTGCTGGTCATTGCTTAAATAAGCTTGTGTGTCATCTTTTTCATTTGTGATCATATTGTCGTTCTCTTCAGCTATGAAAAAGACACATTTATTTTCACACCATAGCCTAGAGCATCTAAAACTCCTCTACTGTCTGTTTGAAGCGTGGACTCCCAAAGTGTGTCTGAAAAGTAAGATAATATACTCCTAATATATATTTGTTTCCTTTGGTTCCTCATTTAGTGATCGATATAACCCCCTAATCTATTTATAGTTGTAATATATTCGTTACTATGACTGTCTTGCTCGTCCTATCGATCATGATAACTGTGTTTTGGGGATGGGTGTTGAGCGTCGTCTTACATGTGAAACGGAGCTGAACGATAGAGGAGTTAAAACAAATTGGACATGGATTACCATTGCTTTCACTTATTGATGACATCATACCCTCAGCCGGCGGTGGCAGGTACAGCATATTGCGCCATAGTCGCTGGGTTATGGTCACGTACGTAAGTGTGGGGTAGAACTATCAAATTAGGGGCGAGATACCTTTTGGGCTAGTGTTTGTTTTGGTGATTTCAAATTTTAACATTGGCCAAAAGTGTTTTTCAAGAACTACTGATGCCAGCTTTAATATAGGACTAGTAAAAATGTACATTAACCGGTTTAAACCATGAAAAATTATTAAAGGAACAGATTAATATGAAAATTATCCCTAAATTTACTCACCCTCAAGCCATCCAAGGTGTATAGGACTTCAGTTTCACAATCAGAGCTATAATATCCTGGCTGTTCCCAGCTTTGTAATGGCATTGAATAGAGGCAGTTTTTAAAGCTTCAAAAAGCACATCTATCCATCATAAAGGTAATCCATATGGGCTTTTATGAGAGTGTCGAGTTCTGAAAAGTTTCTCTAAAGTTTTATATAGGTATTTTATTTACAAAAATACTCATTATTTAATATATCTCAGATCGTGTTTGACTGAAAGAAGACGCAAAACCCACATTTCGGACAACCAAAATCATCTCTGTCTGGCTAACTGGGGTGTGTTTCCCTAAAGCATCGTTAGCCAACTATGGTCACAAGTTCCGTCGTTATCAGCAAAGTTCAACGAGTTTCCCGAAACCATCGTTCCAACGAACATTCGCATACAACATCCCAAAGTTATGTGGTTGGAACGACAGCTCTCGAGAATACTGTGCAATAGCTAAACATTAAATGAACTAATGCATAGTCGTAGTAATAATGGTTTGATGAGTGTGATAAGGTCCTTAAGGCTGTGCTAGTTTTTATTTTAATATATATATATCTCAAAACATATTTCAATCACACTAAACATCGCAAAGCAATCTCAAAGCTAAAGCTAAACATAATAGAACACCTTGAGACGGACTCAATCTAAAAACATTTTCATTAAATTCTGTCATAACATACTCTGTTATCTCCAGGTTCCCACAGGATGCAGCCACATGAAGAGGAGTCCAACCCTCACTGTCCACCTGGTTAACTTTGGCACCCTGAGACAGAAGAAATTCCACCATCTCCATACTGCCATCGATACAGGCCTGGGAAAGAACACCATGTACAGTCCATCAGTACACCATTTTTACAGAAATGCACCAACATTAAAGTCAGCATGAAACAGATGCAATAGTGTAATTAATGCAATAGTCTGAATGAACAAAAAAGGGAGTTCTTCCCCTTTTTGAAGTATATCTGACTGAAACAGCTTCTCAAACAAGAAAAAATGTACTTGATTCTGTCCATAGGGAATTGATTGGATGGTTGTGGTTTGCTATTACTGTGATCTCACGGGTTGTCAGGCACATGGGCCGGTAAACATGTCAACTTAGAAGTGAGGTCGTTGCAAGAGGGAGTGGAAGTTATTTTCATAAAAGATAATGAGGGCATATGAATTTAAACAAATAATGTGCATGGATATTAATTTGTGCATGCAAATCATTTATAATAAATACTGCAAAATTATGTAGAAAAATAGGAATGGTCAATTTGATTTCATGGTAACTTGATAAAACTATAATTATTTATTTCGTTATTTAATCGTTTTTTCTATTACAGCGGCTACGGGAGAGAGGGGAGGGAACATCTTAAAAGCACGTTTGAGCTTCCACATGAAGCAATGAGGTTCATTCTCTCGTTTACGCAGCGCATTTGAGCTTCCTCAGGAACCAATCCTGTGCATTAAGCAGGTTCAGTTGACCTTCTGTTTATGTTTTCTGATTAATATTTATATATGAATAAAAGCCTAAATTAAATCTGCTAAACATATAAAGTGATCGACTCTCTTCAGATAATTTGGACCACTTAATTCATATGGATTAGTTTTACGATCTCTTTATAAGATTTTTGAAGCATCAAAGTGGTAGTAGAGTAACTTGTCTATGGAGGGACAGAAAGCTCTCAGATTTGATTAAAAATATCTCCATTTGTGTACCGAAGATGAACAAAAGTCTTACGGGTTTGAAAGGGTGAGTAGTTAATAACATAATTTTCATTTTAGAGTGAAAAATTCCTTCAGCAAAATTCTGACCTGGTGTAAAGCTGTTATTCCATCTGCATTGGCACAGTTGACCACGTCGTCATCTCCGTTCTTTACTCGTACTTCTCTCAGCATCTCGCCTGCCTCCTCTGTGTCACCACTAGCACACACTGCTAAGAACTCTGCAGTCTTCTCAAACCTTACCCGCAACCTGAGAAAGGGAGAGACAGGTTATCTGGAATGGTATTGACAACATTGTTTGTGACACCTCAAAAACTTTACAGGATTACACTATTACACAGTTAATAGACTTGACAAATATTGTGTAATTTGGGGTTATACGCTGAGGTTCTACAACTGCCACCTGTACAGTAAGAATGGATAACCAGGAAACACATTCTACCAGGATAGTAATCCAATGCATGGCAGATGGTCCTTGACACCCAAAATAGCTAACTAAATCTGGAGATCTTCATTAAAGAGTTAAGCTGAGAAACACAGAAACAGATTTATTCGGAAATGTTTGTTTACATCGAGGAACTATATCACTAATTAACAGTAAAATGTTCCCCTTGTTTTGTTTTTGCCATTATTGTGGTGGTAAATCTCTTTACCTGTTTTTTTTCTGCTGCTCATTGGTGTCTGTTCTGCCTCCAACAGGAGCTCCGGTGCTCGTCTCTCCTCTCCAGCGACTCCGCGGCACCGCCGGCTCTCTGTCTGTACTGGAGCCCGACCAACGCGTCAACTGCTCCCGACGCTTCGCTACCGCCGCGTCCCCCATAATCCAGCACTAAAGACACATTTTAAAGAGAAATCCCCATGATCACAGCTAACAGGAACATATATGACACAGACACGCCCTCCATGCGCGCTGTTTACACTTCCTTATCATATTCACAGGAAGTTACTAAAAACATCTAACCAGTCATTAACGCTCTCTTCTGTCCCACTGAAAATACCTGCCGATCGGAGATTTCGACGACCAGTAATAAAGTTCAAGAACCTGAAAAAGATTTTATGTAATTGCCATGACGTTTAAGGTTTTAGGTCAGAGATCAAAACTACAGTTCCACCTCCAGACTGCAGAGGGCATAGCAGAGATCATTTCCAGCTTCCGTTTTTTTTTTTTTTTTTTTTTTTTTTTTTGGTGTGTTATTAGCATTCTCTGATATTGATATGATGCATTAGCTATCATTTATTATACCTCCAGAATATCATGTTTAGCATTTCCCTTTTCATACTTATTTTAAATTTGTATGAATACGTTGTAGTTCAATCAATGTGATGCAAAAGGCTGTAAGTGGAGGTTCTGACGCTTTTTTTCCCCTTTTATATTTCAAAGCTTTCACAAACATGTAAACTATCTGATATATCTGATATATTCCAATTGTCAAATATGTGTGAGTGAATTTTAAATTAAAGAAACATTTTTTTATCTAAGGATGGAGAAGCCTCGTAAAGGAAAAGATATGAAATCTTGGAGTATCGATTACAGTGCCATCTAGTGGTTAATAAAATGCATACACTGTTTATGTAATTTTATTCTGTGAGTGTGCACCATAGACTGTGGCGTGCACAAATAAAAGCACAACAAACTTTTACCCTCTTGATAATATATTTTATGTACCATAATGCTAACCATTCATGCTAATAAAAGTCTATATTATTCAGAGCAACAATAACACATTCAGCGCAACAAATACACTGCTTGTGTTGTGGGTGCCCATAGCTGGCAATTGATATCTTTTTATAACTAAAAAGTATGAATATGGCATGCATTTGACATTTTATTATTCGTGAAGTAATAACATCATCTGTATTATTTATTCAACTTGTATAGCAGTAGGCTATATATCATATAGCTTTGAATGTTTGAAATCGAAAAGAAAAAAACATCCATTTGGTGGAAAAATAAAATAAGAACAATGTGTGGGGAGATCAGGAATAAAGTGGTTATTAAATGTACGTGTAATTGTGGTGAAGAAGAATATAGGCACAAAGGGGATTTTTAAATTAATTTTAATGAGAAATAAGTTGTTTGATGAGTCTATTTCTCCTCTTGAACAATACTGTAGGCTCCCAGATAGTAAAATTTGTCTGGCCACCTCTGGGCCTCATCCTTGCTTCAATTCTGGCCCAGTTCTGATGACCAAAACTGCTGCAACACACTGACAACGGACTCAAACAACTTCCTCTGGCCCGGATGTGGCCCAAACCCTGTAAAATGACTCTAGTTTATTGATATGGCCCAGGTCTGGCCTAGGCACTGTGAGAACGATCTGGCTGAGAGTCGGCTGCAGTCCCCTTCCTTTGAGAACATTCTCTCACAGGTTACCGACCGATAAGTCTGGTCTTTTCCAATATTCCAGTGAATCTTTGGCTCTTGGTATGTTAGTCTCTTTATTATCGGTCAACCTCTATTATTGCATCAGCTGTGTAATGTGGTCCACAGCATCATCTAGCAGTGCCGTAAAATAACCTGTAAGGTAAGTTGAAATAAGCTGTCACAGACTCACGGATTTAGCCAGCAAGCCATCAGCAGGACTAGGTCCTTCCACCCACTAGTTTACAATCACTGGAATACTACCCTTCCACACTGTTTCCCCTTCATCAAACACCATGCATACCTAAGTACACAGCTCACTCATTGTCCAGTGTCTAACGTTACATGAGAGTGAACCGACTCACCTGTGTTTACATAGACTACCTTCTTCGCCATCCTCAAACTAACGATCAGTCAGACTGTATCTTCCATCATGCAAATTGAAAGACTCACCCATGTTAGTTTGCACCGCAATTCAGAGAATCGGAACTGATACATCATGTAAAATCTTCAATTTCTCCTGAAATACAATCAAGCGGTTGGTGAACTGTGAGAAAAATAGACTTAACTGTAGTTACCTACCCATGTGTTTCAGATAAAACACGTTGTCAAATTATAATTGAGGCCTGGTAATTTAGGCCTATTATTGCTACTTCCTTAGACATCCGTGTGTAGGCTATTTAACAACAAAATTTAACAAGTTTTTTTTTTCTTTTTTTTTTTTTGCTAGTTTTTAATTAAAATGTCCATTTCAATTGAAACCTAAAATAATCATTATGTGGTTAAAAAATGCTGAATAGTTGTTATACATGAAAAGGGCTGAGCTTGTCCTACTCCTGTTCAGTGCCAGCCATAGACAGTAAAAGAAATGGACAGAGCAACACCATTGATTTCAACGGAGAAGACTGAAGCCCGATTTTTGCACTTCCTGTCTGATGTCTGAGTGACTGCGCAGGCTCAGACTGAGCGTGACGACAGTCTGACAGTTGTAAATCTTCTAGTAGCTGTGCCAAGCCAAAACGTTGTTGAAATATTTTCTCCCGTTGCTTTTATGGACTCTCCCATAGACAGTAAAAGGCTTCTCCCTCAACTTTATGCCTTCCATGTCCCCCCGATTGCCTCATAGACAGTAAAAGATTGCCTGCGAGCTTCTCCTCCTGCCTATACGGTAATGTCTCTATTGTGCGACAGAAAGTTGCGTGGTGATGACGCAATCGTTAGCCTATTTTCCACAAAAACGGCATCTACGGGGCCATAACGTATATAAAAAGTAATGGAGCGTTTTATACATTGTCGTGTTTCTTTAGAAATAAATAATGGACAAATGAAGTCTTTGGACGCCTCAGATGTAAAGTTATTCACTGTCAAAGTGACGCCAAAAGGAATGGGAGTCAATGGGACGCTAACAGCAGGTGAAGTTCTGCTACAATGGCGGCTCCCGCGAGGCTTCAACTTCCGGCTGATAGATTACCCCCTTGGTGCCAGCCCAAGGCAACCGCATTTGAAATTAGCACTTGATCACGTGATGCACTGAACGTTTAAAACACACCGGTATGATCGTCATACACGTCAAACACAAACGTGTAATAAAGTGATTCTGAAGCAAACGTTTGAGTAAATCATGGGCTAATTTTCATTTTTGGGTGATCCCTTTTGGAACTATCCCTTTGATAACTTTGTTTTGGATGTTGGTGTGCGAAAGATGTTAGTGGATATTCAATCAAAATAGATGTAAACAAAAGTTAGACTACTTTTAAAAAAAAAAATTATATTAATACATGATCTAATGTGATCCAAAACAATGATGAAATTCACATTTAGAAGTTACATAGGCCAATATATGCTAAATTTACAGTTCCTGTCTATCACCAATAAAGACTAGTCTATTTAGACTAGAGTCTCATCCTATTTTCTATGCAATCAAATCCACCCTAGAATCTCAAGAGTCCTGCCCTCTACATGATAAAAATATGCTAGCTGTGTCTGAGATTGCTATTCTATGTTGTGAATAGCAAGTCGTGCAATATAGGGGATAGTGAACGTTTCAGACAGTTTGTGGCATTAGAGATTGTGGTTGGGTCACATCAAGGTTTTATGCCACTAGGAGGAAGGAGCAGCCTCTGCAACATGAGGGATCTCAAGCACAATAGAAAGAAAGAAATGCTGATGTACAGGTAAGTAAGCTAGGCTGAGTTGAGTGTGGGACGGATGGGGGTGACTCTGGGATGCCAGAATCACTGTCGAGGCCTCTTGAGGTGTTGTGGGCCCACTTGAAGAGCCCAGAGATATCCCATACTCAGCTCAATACAGACGGTTGTCATGCTGATCCGCTGAGGAGACTACACTGTGGTTGATCCCTGGAGCCAGCAACACCAGACAGAAGGATTTCAGAAGGATACTATTTGGTTTGAAAGTAAGTTTTTGATCGATGGTGGTTCCCAGATATTTATATTCTTGTACCATCTATTTTTCCTGACTGCTGACATCTAATGCTTTGATGCTATGGTAGATCTTTCCCTGTGGACATCAATGACCATCTCCTTGGTCTTAATTCGCCCTGCTCCACTCAGGGAACTCAGCCAATTCAGGCTTAAGTTGTCTATCCGAGTTTGTATAATCAATAATGACTGCGTCATCCGAGTATTTGATTCCTCACTCCTACAGTCCTACACTCCTACATTGGATTACACTTGTAAATAAAATTTTACATTCATGAACAAATGGTTAGATAAATGTTGCAATTTCAGCAGCCCCTCAGCCTTCTTAACGTGTTCAGTTAGAGTCTGGGAAAACTGAAATGATAGAAAAAAGATAAGAACCAAGTAATCTCACATAGCCAGTCCTTTAAAGCCCAGATATACTTACGACGAAGTTCTTTTCATTCTTCATTTAGGGGGTAATGGAAGTCCAGCCACTAACACTGTTTGAGAGACACTAACACTGTTTTTCATGTTTATATGGTAAAACTTCTTAAGCAATCTATTGTGTAAAGTCATATAAAGAAATTTAACTTGAGTGCCAAATTGCAGAGCTCGTGCAAACATATCGTTGCTAAACGAAGATACGTTTTTTCTTCAACAAGCCCAAAAGGGCCCACGTCATTCCTCAGTTCATATCCCTGCACTGGATGCCACTCGCTGCTCGGCTCAAGTTCAAGGCGTTGACGCTTGCTTTCAGATCGACCACTGGCTTAGCTCCCTCCTACTTTCACTTGCTCCTATATCCCTATGAGCCTTTATCCTTATCTATATCCCTACAAGCTTATTTATAAAAAATAAGTTGTCAGAACGTTTTGCTAACATTCCCATTAGCTTACGAAAATGTTATTTCGAAATTCTATTAGACCCCCTATACAAGATTATGATCATGGAAATTAACATAACGGAACTCCTTTAAAACCATTTAAGTAAAAAAAAAAAAGTATTAATAAATGACCAGGTTTATTGAGTTGTCCTGGGTACATGCAAATAGCCTGGTATGATGCAAAATTATAGCAAGTGTCTGCTTCTGCAACAATTTTAGAAGACTCCCATCCAAACTCTTAAATATATTTAAACATTTCAAATGAATGTATATGAACATGATTTGACCTGTCCACACACATTGAAATATAATGTAAACTGTCTAGTTTGGAGAATAAATATATTATCATTACAGCCAGAAGACACAAATTCTTCATAAATATTTGAAAAATAGTTGTATAAAGGTCATTCTCATAGACTCAAGTCTATTTGAAATCTTACAGCAGCTTCTGAGAAGCATTTACAAGCATTGCTATTTATTGCATCAGTCAATAGGTAAAAATAACCTTTCCCTTTTCCTTTTCCAAAGCTAAAGAACCATTTCTTTTCAAGGAGGCAGGAACTATGAAATAAGATGCACACACACACACACACACACATTCATACAGTAGAGGGCAAAGATGGAGTTAAGTACTGTATGTCATATATCAGTACAATCTGTATAGTAAAATGATAAAATAATAAAATAAAATAAAAATTACAATTATCAATTTACACAAACTAATTCAATTGGGACCATAGAGTAACAGCATCTTTTGTTGCGTCATGGAGGCAGAATTATGTTTCATGGATATTTCTGCTCAATAGACTGCAGTAGTGTTTCTACAAATATCATTAATAATTCAAATAGTTTATATTTAGCTTTTGTTTTTGATGGGGGTTATATTTCTCCGTTGTCTGCAGACTAGCTGTTGAAGGTCACAGCCTTCAATACTTCATAGTTCTTCAAGAGCTACGTCTGAAGTTATGTAACAATCTTGAAAATGCATTAAACCATTAAATACCATGTCCACTTATATTTAAGCTCTTCATGAAATATTTATATTACATATGTGCATTAGCAGATACATGTCTTCTCGGTTCTGGCTGATCTAAACTATGCAGCCTAAATTGAATTATAGAAGTCCTATTTTAACAATCTGAAACGCAAGTGTCAAAGCGCAAAGTGGAAATAACTTTGTGTGCGGGTCCCGGCGCTATTGCTATTTTCCCGGAGGGATAAATGCCTCTTGCGCCTGGCGCAAATCTAAAAGAGGTTGGTCTGAAGTAGCTTCATTATTCATAGTTGTGGTTTGGGCGTAACGTGAAATAAACCAATCAGAGCGCCATCCAACATACCCTTTAAGAACAGGTGCGCATGTTGCATAACGGATTGTTATTATAACGGCGGGTTTTCACAGCCGTTCAGGAGCCGTTTTCACAGCGCCAGGAGCGTTCACAGCCGATGAGACCGACGTTCTTGTCAGGGCAGTAAAAGACAGAGAGGTGACGTTGTATGGGTATGGGAGAATCCCTCCCACATCAGCGTCGGTTAAACATTATATAGGTATGTTTCTTGCCACTATTGGGCAAACAGGTCTGATCCTTTAGTACTACAATTAGCATTAAAAATGGGTAATAATGTTTTTTCATCTTCATGTAAAGCACAATGATTTCCCTCATGTGTTAATATTTTTCCTTGTTATAATGTATGATTTGCAAAAATAAAAACTGCTGCATCTGTGTTGATGAGAGAATCAAAGTGTATGTGCGCTGTGCACCCGCTACATTATGGCCAAGCATGCGTGCTTAAAATAGCATTATGAACAACGCGCAGCGCGCCACTGACTTTAGACCAGGTTTTTTCTGGTCAGTGACGCAATTGTTTTCTGGAAGTGTGAAATAGCACCAGGGAATGTTTGCGCCGAAACACGCCTCCTTTTTGCGCCGATCCGTTTTTAGTCTAGATTTGAACTGACTACTGTGCCCACTTCCCAGAAAATGTTAGGAAGATTGTTACAAAGTTTTGGAGCTAAAAAGGAAAAGGATCTACTGCTAGCAGTCGATTTTGTTATTCTTGGTATTATCAACTGACCGGAATTTTGAAATCGCAATAGACATGAAGGACTATAATGCGTTAAGAGTTAACTGAAGTACTGGGGAGCTAAACCATTTAGTGTTTTGTAAATGATAAACAATATTTTAAAATGTATACAATGTTTAATAGGGAGCCAATGCAGTGTTGACAGAACTGGGCTAATAGGGTCATAATTCCTGGTTCTGGTAAGAACTTCTGCTGCATTTTGGACCAGCTGTAGTTTGTTTATTAAGCGTACCGGGCAACCACCCATAAGAGCATTACAATAATATAGGCTTGATATCATGAACGTATAAACTAATGTTCTGCATATTATAACTATGCAACTGTCTACTACAGTATCAGATCAGGGGGTGCATTGTTGTGTCCCTGAGGAAAGATTTGTTTCATTTGCTGCTATAGGAGAGGAAGAATTTAGCAAACTCGTTAATTCATCTAAATCAACAACTTATATGCTAGACCCTATACCGACTAAACTACTGAAAGAGATGCTTCCGGAGGTCATAGATCCTCTTCTTAATATCATTAATTCATCTTGGTCACTAGAATACGTACCAAAAACTGTTGTATATTGTGCAATGCTTTATGTGACTACATTTCCCATGATGCACGGTGTACTTATGTTCCGGATGTTCCGGTGTTATGTACAATGACGTTAAGAAGACGAAGTAAACAGAGCAGTCACGCTAAATTGTGTGTGTGTCATATTTGCCTGCATCTCTGCACACTCTTTGAAAATACAATAAATTGGCGACGAGGAGCTCGTAAATCCGCGTGTGTGTTTTAAATGCGGGAAGGAAGTGGATTGACGGCGAGATCGCTCGAAAATGAGAAATGATACGAGCCTGCTGCTAATCCACGTTGTGACTGAAGAGGGGGAAGAACAACAACGATTCAGATAAGTGACTGAATTATTTGAAACTGACAGAGAACGTTACAAAATGGCAACAATTCTTGGCAACATTGGTCCTTTTGATGAGAGTAGTGAGCAGTGGAGCTCTTACACAGAAAGATTTGAGTACTTTGTAGCAGCTAATGCTATCGCTGATGAGAAAGCTGTACCCACTTTTTGTGATGGGCCCAAAGACATATGCACTACTGCGTAACCTCCTGCAGCCAGAAAAACCGGGAGAGAAAACGTATGATCAAATAGTGGCCACTCTTAAAGCACATTTCTCTCCAAAGCCCTTAGTAATTGCGGAGCGGTTTCGTTTTCACAGACGGAATCAGCTGGAAGGAGAAACCGTGACAATGTTCGTAGCGGTGCTAAAAAAATTAGCTGAACACTGCGAATTTGGTGAAGTGCTAAATGACACACTTCGGGACAGATTAGTCTGCGGACTCCGTTGTGAGGGAATACAAAAAAGACTGTTAACAGAGAGCAACTTGACACTACAAAGAGCAATAGAGCTGAGTGTGTCAATGGAATTGGCTGCGAAGGAAGCACAACAACTGAGCTCAAACAGTAAAGTGTATAAGATGGAGACCGAAAAACAAAATGAAAATAAAGGGCCATGTTTTCGCTGTGGCAAGACGGGACACTCACCCGTTTCATGCTGGTTTAAAGATGTGGAGTGCCGCAGCTGCAAGAAAAAAGGACACATTGAGCGTGCGTGTAAAAATAAAACAGGAAAGAAGGAAAAAATGCAGCAGAAACCAGTATACAGAAGGAAGCAAAAGCAACGCGTGTTTTCAGTGGAGCAGGAAAACAAAGATGTTACTGACACATCGGATGAGGAATTTCCGTTGCATGTGCTCACTGTTGCTGGTGGAACCAAGGCTTATAAGGTCACCGCGCTGCTGGAAGGACAGCCTGTGAAAATGGAGATTGACACGGGTGCTGCTGTGTCGCTCGTGTCGGATAAGGTATACAGCGAAATATTGAGCCACCTGCCACTCGCACCACCTGATGTGGTTCTTAAGACGTACACTGGGGAAGCGGTAACTATGAAAGGACTCACGCAGGTAACAGTTGAACTCAACGGGAAAAAGAAAAAACTGCCATTGTATGTGGTCTTGGGTGATTATCCTTCGTTGATGGGACGTTCTTGGCTGGAGCAACTCAAGGTGGACTGGGCGGCCATACACATGATGACACCTAAAACGCTGGATCTTGAAGGGATTCTCCGGAAACACTCTGATGTGTTCAAGCAGGAGTTGGGCAGCATGAAGGACATCCAGGTGAAATTGACTGTAGAGCCGGGATGCCAGCCAAAATTTCTAAAAGCCCGGCCCCTTCCATATGCGCTAAAACCCAAGGTAGAGGCAAGCTTAGCGGAACTCATGAAGGAAGGGGTGCTGGAACCAGTCAGCGTGAGTAAGTGGGCAACACCCATTGTTCCAGTTCTAAAGAAAGATGGAGGCATAAGGATCTGTGGAGATTTTAAAGTCACTGTAAATCCGGTGTTATCAGCAGAACAATACCCCTTGCCTCACATTAATGATATCTTTGCTGGACTGACAGGAGGGCAAAAATTCAGCAAAATCGACCTCAACCAAGCATACCTGCAGATGCATGTTGAGGAACAGTCCAGAGAACTTCTCACCATCAACACCCACAAAGGCCTATTTCGGTACAAGCGGTTACCATTTGGAATTACTTCGGCCCCATCTGTTTTTCAGCGAGCGATGGATCAGATTTTGGCGGGCCTTAAAGGCGTGGTGTGTTACTTAGACGACATCCTAGTGACTGGCACTGATGAAGAGTCGCACTTACAACACCTGGATGCTACCCTGGAAAGACTGAAAGAATACGGATTGAGGGTGCGCAAGGACAAATGTGAATTTTTCCAGGTTGCAGTCGAGTACTTAGGCCATGTCATTGATGCCTCTGGTTTGCATACATCTCCATCCAAGGTTAAGGCCATTGTGGATGCTCCAGAGCCCGGAAATGTAAGCCAGTTGCGGTCTTTCCTCGGTTTACTAAATTATTATGGGCGGTTCATTCCAAACATCGCTACGCTGCTGAAACCACTTCACAAGTTGTTGTGTCACGAGAAAAATTGGAGGTGGACCTCTGAATGCCAGGAGGCTTTCAAAAGAGCAAAGGAGACACTCTTAAAGTCAAATGCCCTCACTTATTTTGACCCTGCTCTTCCCATTCAACTGGCCTGCGATGCTTCTCCATATGGTGTGGGAGCTGTCTTGTCCCACATCATGCCAAATGGTCAAGAGAGGCCGATCGCATTCGCTTCCAGGAGTCTGAGTAAGGCAGAAGCAAACTATGCTCAGATTGAGCGAGAAGCGTTGAGCATTGTGTTTGGAGTTCGTAAGTTTTACCAGTATGTTTTTGGAAGGAAGTTCACATTGTTGACTGATCATCGCCCACTCACTGCAATTTTTGGCCCACACCATGGCATTCCGTCTCTGGCTGCTAGTAGGATGCAAAGATGGGCTTTGTTGTTATCCGCTCACACCTATGACATCAAGTATCGGAAGGCGGAATTGCATGGAAATGCGGATGGTCTGTCTAGATTGCCTCTCGCTGACAGAATGAAGGAGGCACAAGTTGCAGAAATTTTCTACTTCAGCCAGGTGGAAAGGGCCCCAGTAACAGCTGTACAAGTCCGTAAGAGCACACGCAATGACCCTGTTCTGTCGAAAGTCATGGATATCGTAATGACAGGAAAAGGTGAGACCGATGACCTGGAGTTAAAACCGTATGTCTCTCGACGCCATGAACTTTCAGTGCAGTCAGGATGTTTGCTGTGGGGTAGGAGAGTGATCATTCCCTCTGCTCTGCGCAAGCAAGTGCTAAAACAGCTGCATGTGGGACACTGTGGAATGGTCCGAATGAAAGAAATTGCCAGGAGTTACTTCTGGTGGCCAGGAGTAGATGGCCAAATTGAGGAAAAGGCAAGAACATGTACGTCATGCCAGCGCATACGCAATGTACCCCAACTGGCTCCGCTGCACCCATGGGAATATCCAGAGAAACCATGGCAGCGCATTCATGTTGATTTTGCAGGCCCAGTGGAGGACAAAATGCTGCTGGTGGTCGTGGATGCACACAGTAAGTGGCCGGAGGTGGCTATCATGAAATCTACATCAGCTGAAAAGACAATTGAGAAACTGGGAGAAATTTTCAGTAGATTTGGACCTCCGGTGCAGCTTGTCTCAGATAATGGCCCTCAATTTACATCTCATGAGATGGGCACATTCCTACAAGCAAATGGTGTGCAGCATATCACATCATCACCTTACCATCCGGCAACAAATGGTTTAGCAGAAAGGTTTGTCCAAACCTTGAAACATGCTTTGAAAGCTTCACTCGGACAGGGAACATTCCATCAACGGCTGCATAGCTTTTTGTTGTGCTATCGCAGTACTCCGCACGCAACCACTAAAGTGTCACCAGCATCTCTGTTGTTCAATAGAGAGCTCAGGACAAGCTTGGAGCTGCTCAAACCAGCAACACTCAAAGAAACTGTCTTAATACAACAGAGGAATCAGGTACAGCGACGGAATCTGCGAGCCAAGGACAGAACCTTCTCGATAGGCTCACCAGTGCTGGCACGGAACTATGGCGGTGGTCCGAAGTGGGTTCCAGCTACGGTGGAGGCCCAGACAGGTCCAGTCTCATATAAGGTCAAAACTGCTGGAGATTTGTCTTGGAGGAGACACAGTGATCAGTTGCTCAAGGGAGCAAACGCAGTTCCAAATGTTTCCGAAGTTGCGGATGTCACTGACCAAATTAGTAACAGTACGTCAGCTCCTGAAGTACTAACCACTGAGCCTACCAAGACCGCAAATTGTCCATCAGTAAAGGAACCGGCATCACCTGTTGTATCGGCAGAAAGTGGGAGCCAAACAGGGCGCCGATACCCAGTTAGGGAGCGACACCCGCCCCAGCGGTTGTTGGATTATTCTTAGTTGGAAGCTACCCTTATTGCTCGGGGCAGAATAATCCCCTTAGGGTCAGCTAGGGTTTGAGGTAGTCTACCCTCACTCCCAGGGAATTAGTTGTATATAAGAAACAACAAAGTTGAATGTTCTATATATATATATAAAAAAAGAAGAGTTCTAAGAGAGTTGAATTTCAAAATTTCTGACTACTGATATTACAGTTTAATTTGTAATCTTGTGTTAGACCTCAAAGAGTAAGAGGGGAGGAGATGTTGTATATTGTGCAATGCTTTATGTGACTACATTTCCCATGATGCACGGTGTACTTATGTTCCGGATGTTCCGGTGTTATGTACAATGACGTTAAGAAGACGAAGTAAACAGAGCAGTCACGCTAAATTGTGTGTGTGTCATATTTGCCTGCATCTCTGCACACTCTTTGAAAATACAATAAAAACCTTTAAGCTAGCTATGATAAAACCGCTTTTAAAAACCCACAACTTGATCCTACAGAATTAGTTAATTACAGGCCAATCTCGAATCTGCCTTTTCTGTCAAAGATACTGGAAAAAGCAGTATCCTCACAACTGCGTTCCTTTCTTGAAAGAAATGATATCTGTGAGGACTTTCAATCAGGATTCAGACCACATCATGATACCGAGACAGCTCTCATTATAGTCACAAATGGTCCGATCGTGGTTGTATCTCTCTATTAGTGTTACTCGGTCTTAGTGCTGCATTTGGCACAATTGACCACAACATTCTTTTAAATAGACTGGAAAACTATATTGGCATTTGTGGAACCGCATTAGCATGGTTTAAATCATACTTATATGACCGTTATCAGTTTGTAGCAGTAAATGAAGAGATGTCTTATCGATCACAAGTTCAGTATAGAGTACCACAAGGCTCAGTACTAGGACCACTGCTATTCACTCTGTACATGCTACCATTAGGAGATATAATAAGGAAATATGGAATTAGCTTTCACTCTTATGCTGATGATACCCAGCTGTATATTTCTTCAAAACCTAACGAAACTTACCAACCCACAAAATTAAAGGAATGCATTGCTGATATAAAAAATTGGATGACTAACTTCCTACTACCAAATTCTGAAAAAACAGAGATTCTAATTATTGGACAAAAAACTTCCACACATAGCAGCCTAGAATAATCCCTAACACTTCATGGCTGCTCTGTTAAGTTTCAAACCGGCGTGATTACTTCGACTTCCAAACGGATGAAAATGGACAATTGTCTTAATGTTTCGATCCAATTTGTTTTGCAATCACTGTGCAATCACTGTTCTTTCGTTGGCCAGAGGAGAACTGGCCCCCAACTGAGCCTGGGTTCTCCCAAGGTTTTTTTCTCCGTGCACCTGATGGAGTTTTGGTTCCTTTCCACTGTTGCCTTGCTTTTGGCTTGTTTAGTTGGGGACATTTAATATTCAACAATATTATTGATCTGTGTTGTATTACTTTCATGTTATCACTGTGAAGCTGCTTTGATACAATCTGTATTGTAAAAAGTGCTATATAAATAAATGTGACTTGACTTGACTTGCATTTTTCATTGAGAGCATATATGACACAATTTAGATATATTTTTAAGACGAAAAAATGTGGTTTTACAGATGCTAGACACGTGACTTTCAAATGAAAGGTTGGTATCAAAAAGCACACTCAGGTTCCTAACCGACGACGAATACTTGACAGAGCAGCCATCAAGTGTTAGACAGTATTCTAGATTATTACATGAGGAAGTTTATTGGCCAATAATTAGAATCTTAGAATAATTAGAAACTTCGAAGCAAATGGCAATGGAAGCTGAAAAGAGAGTGCAATCAAAGATTTGTTCTGAACATGAGAAAAGTCTTTTAAAGCAAATAGTTTTGAGGCATCCTGTTATAAAAGATAAACTGCACACATCAACTGTTGAATCAAAGAAAAGGAATGCCTGGACATTTATTTGTAATGAATTCAATGCAAATATATTGCCTGGCTGCCAGCCCGAACTCCGCCCACAACATTTTTTGGTCGGGAAGTTCGGTCTGGACTCGATCCATTGAGGAGTAATTATGATAAGACAAGAAACGTTCGGGCCAATCAAATTGGCAGGGCGGGCTTTATACGATGATGGACAGATGATCTGTAGTAACGTAATTCTCACGTCATCAAAGAGCGCTTGGTTAGAACTGGTTTAGAACAAAAATGACTGCAGCTGGTGAACTGAGATGCATAGATTCCGCTATCGCGTCTGTTTTAGAAGAAATCGACAGCACATTAATTTTAAAAGATGGACAGAGAACCGCAATAAAGTCATTTGTCGATCGTAAAGATGTGTTTGCCATTCTTCTTACCAGATTCGGCAAAAGTCTAATTTATCAGCTGGCCCCGATGGTCGCTAAAAAGATGGGACTCTATGGAAACCAATTGTGGTTTCTCCTTTGGTTACCCTCATGGAAGACCAAATAAAAGAAGCTACCGAAATGGGTATCACGGCGATGCAACTCAGCGTGCATGACGAGGCGGAAATATCCAGCGGTCATTGCCAGCTACTTTTCGGAAGTTCCGAATCCTGGTTGCTGAACAAGAAGTGGAGGAACATGCTAGGCTCAGATGTTTTTCAAGCCAACGTAATGGGTATCGTCGTGGATGAAGTTCATCTCACTTACAAATGGTAAGAATTAATCTTACTGACTGACTTAGTAAATAACTCATTCATGTATTGACATGAAGCCAATGTCCTAAAATATCTTGTCCCTACAGGTCCAAATGAACACAGTGTAGCGAAAACAAAAACTTCAATCGTTTTTATTTACTATTTTTTTATTTTTTTTTATTTTAGGGGTCAAGCTGCAAAGTGGTTGACGCCATTTCGCTTCGCCAAGTTGGGAGAACTTAGATCCCTAGTTAAAGCTGGTAAGTATGTTCAAAACAATAGTCTTCCAGTATGTGCATTCTTATATGTTTTATACACTTACTCTAAAATATTTTAGTTTACAAAAATGTTTATGATTTGATTTATGTAAATTTAATAGTATGACGAGAAGATCAAAGCCATTGCTGCATCAAACAATTTAGACACTTTATTACTTGCACACCACATCCCATACTGGTAGTCACTGTACCTCCTTATAAGGGGTGTATTTTGTAAAAATAAATTATTAGATGATTCTACTCATCATTTAGGCTAACTATTACTTATTGTTTACATATTATCATTCACTATATTCCAGGTACACCTGTGCTGGCATTGACTGCTTCTGCTGATCGGGAATCCAGAGCCAGGGTAATGAAACAGCTGCAGATGGACAATCCAACTACTTTGGCTTTGAGTCCTGGGTCTGATAAAAGTCCCTGCCCATGTCATAGACTGCCTTGACTGGATTGTGAAGGATGTAAAAGAAAAAGATTCCTCCATGTTGCCAGTTATTATTTACCAGTGTTGTAGTCGAGACCACCTCACTCGAGTCCGAGTCGACACCGAGACCAGAGAGAGTCAAGTCCGAGTCAAGACCGAGTCCATAGAGAGTCGAGTCCGAGTCGAGTCCGAGACCAGAGACGGTCGAGTCCGAGTCGAGACCGAGACCAGTAAGGGTTGATAACCTAATTTACTTTTATTTAATTAGAGAAATCCTTTTTTTACTGAATTTACTTAGAGTTTAAAAAATATGATCAGTTTAGGGTAAAAAGGCCACATAGGTGGTGTAATTTTATTACAATTTGTCATGCGCTTACAAAAAGGCTTACAAAATACACCCCTTTAAACTCGAGTGGACTCAGGAATAATTCCGAGTCCTAAAAAAAAAAATGTTTGAGTACGAGTCAATTCTGACTCCAAATGGACACGAGTCCATGACAAGACCAAGACCATTAAAATATGGTCTCGAGACCGAGTCCGAGACGAGTCCGAGTCTCGAGTACTACAACACTGTTATTTACTGCAAAACTGTCAAGCAGGTTGGCAGAGTTTTCTGCCATTTGAAGGGGGAACTGGGTGAAGATTCCTGGGTTGACAGAGACCCTGAGAAAAAGATTGAAAATCTACTTCTAGGCATGTTCCATAGCCAGACACTCCCTCACAATAAGAACTGAGTGCTGTCATCTCTTAGTGGACAGGGTAGCTGCAGAGTCGTTGTGGCTACAACAGCTCTTGGGATGGGCTTGAATTTTCCAAACATATCACACATTGTGATGTATGGTTTGCCCGATGATGTGGAAGCTATGGTTCAGCAGATCGGGAGGGCAGGCAGAAGCGGGTTGCAGGCACATGCGATTGTTTATGTTGTCAAACAACATGCAAAGCTTGACCCTGCAGTTAAGACCGTACTTGAGACTGGAATCACTAGTTGTCTTAGGAAAGCTTTGTACTGCCATTTCGAGGAAAACACTACATCTGTCGATCCAGGACATCTGTTCTGCACCTACTGCCATTCTGTTTGCTCTTGTGAACCTGAAGGTTGTGGCGAGCCAACTCCAAAATATGAACATTTTAAAGGGGTAGTTTCTTTCCCTGACAAATGTAGAATGGCCACAAATGATGAAAAACTTTTGATCAGAGACCTGTTGCATAATTACAGGAGTAGTTTACTTCTTTACACAGTCGACACAGCCTGTACTGGATTTGGAGATTAACTCATCGATGCGGTTTTAGAACACTGCACACAGATATTTTACCTTAACTACACAATACATAATCTACCTGTATTTAAACTGGAACATGCAAAAGAAATACTAAGAATTCAAAATTAAGTATTTGATGACATCGAGCAAAAAGACACTATTTTGTTTGATGACAGTGTTATTCAGGTTGACATGGACTACACTGGTTACTTTGATGAAGTACAAGAGGATGACCATTTACAATCTTCACCAGGTAGCTTGGAGTCAGGCTTGTCAGTGTTGAAGATATCGGACTAGCTAAAAAAAAAAAAAGAGGCTCAATTCAAGCTTAATGTTGTTCTTGACTCTACTTTTGTTGTGCATTTTTTAAACCTCTTTCTAAAATACTTTTGGATAAAATATTTATTGTTTAAACGTTTCAACTGGTAGTATTTCTTTATTTATTTATAATAAATGAACAATTAGTCTTTTGTTCATAAAAAAAGTTTTAATATCACAAAATAATAAAGTATACACTTTGTACTTTACAAATGGTTTTAAAAAT